ATACTGGAATTCCATGTGTTTCTGACTTGTATTTGTAAATGTGTAGCATCGTTCCTTCAAATGAGAACCACTGTGAACCCCAGCAAACTTGGAAAGTGTTCATCATATCTGAGTGGAAAGATTCTGCTCTTCTGATACTGGTAAAAGATAATATAGACAAAACAAGAACATGTTTGTTGGCAGTTCGCAGTTGTGTTGCCAACCTCACCAAATTAAATTTTACTGGTCAGATTACATTCTGTATTTTGTTAGTGTTTTGTGTCTGTGCTTCAAATGTCTTCTTGTTTTCCACATAGAATGAGCTTATTAATGTTAAAGTAATGATGATATGTGAAATATTAATAAATGTTTAGTTGAAACTGCAGATATGGTATATTTAATTCTGTACATTAATTTATTTTTCAGCCCATACCACAAGGTGCTCGCATTGATGTGGCTATCAATGAATGTTATGATGGTTCATATACTGGAAGCCCTCATGACCTCATTTCACAACCTCCAGGATTTGCTTTCTCTCGCAATGGCCCTGTTAGACGAACATCTGTATCCAACATCCTTGTTTGCCGTCCTAAACGGCCCAAGCCAAGTCTTTCAGAATTTCTTGAACTTGATGAAAATGAATTTGATGGACAGCGACCATATATTACAGGACATAACAGGTATCAAGCCTTTGGTTCTGAAACTTGTCGAAATAATTAAGATTTTAGTCCATACTGTAAAGAAAACAACCTGCCAACATTGTAAAGACCGTCTGGTTGATCCTGTTCAGAAAATAATCACTGTCTATTCTCAGAATCATATGAAAACCCACTCCATGGGCAAAATGCAGGATTACTGAATGTCAAAGCAGGTGGTGCCTATAATTACCTTTCGACAGTATTTATTTTCTCTACAAAAATTACTTTGTTGAAAGTGTCCAGTAATTTTGGTTGAAGGTCTGAGCAAATTTCTTGTCATATTTTGCTGGCCATCTGAGATATGTTGATACCATTTAGACCAGACTTTGTGGTCAAATCTTTAGTTGGTCAGTATTAGTCTCACAGTTTCTATTTACACTCATTTCTTCTATTTTTATAAACAACCACTGGATGATCATTTTTCACTATTTCAATCATATTTAGATCACAATGTTGCCATAACACGAAATTAAAGTTTTATTAACAATAAAAGTACCTCAGGCTTTCTGCTCATAAAAATTGGTTGTATTTTTTTTGTAGCTCTGTTTACTTTTCTTGATTACTGTACATTCCATTTACTAAATAGCTTATTATGTGCTTGTTATATCTTATATTTTGTGAACACTGGCTCTCTTGTTCATTTACATGCATTCTGGTTTCAAGCATTATCATCTTTCTCATTACATTATAGGCTGTATCATCATACAACTACATGTTTGCCTATTTACCCAAAAGAGATGGATGTTGATTCAGAAGGAGAACATGATCCTAAATGGTTGCAGACTAAGACAATGATGATGATCGATGATTTCACTGATGTCAATGAAGGAGAGAAGGAACTGATGAAGATGTGGAATTTGCACGTTATGAAACATGGGTGAGGAAGAGTTCTTTACTGACTTTTCTTCGAGTTGTTCAGTCACTAGCCATGTGCCTTTGAATAATGTAGAAAACTTCATCTCCTCAATTCACCTGCTAGTTCTCCATTTGAAGTGTTATTTACATGGGAGTTTGATTACTCTGTTACCTTTTGAACTACTCTTATTGATTTGCTGGCTTAATAATGGGAATATGTTAATGTTATAATAATATATTTAATATTTATTGATGGTGAAGAGTTTGTCGTTTAATAAAATATTCAGTATCCATTAGATGTGTATTTCAAATCCCCATAAACCTACTTTCAGTCTTTGAAATGTTCTTTATTGTGTTATTATAACATTACATGAAAGCTAGAATGATATATAGATGCATGAATGCTATTGATCTTTTGTTAGAAGAGAAAATGTTTGAAGGAGAAAATGCTTAATTCAAATGTAGTTGACTTTCCTCAATATGTATTCCATTTATACAATCCAAAGTAGACCATTCCACCGAGTGTTTGTTACAAAATGTTATTTCAATATTTTAGAGAGGCAGTTGCTAGAAATTACTGCCACTGAACTTCATCAAACATAGTTTGGGAAATGCTGTCTTATGCATTCCTGGCCAAATACCAAAGTCCATCATAACCACCTAGTTTTCAGTATTCTGTTACTATTAGGTGATCTGTGTAAATCATGCAGGTTCTTTATTATATAATATCATGAGTTGCTCACTTTAATCCTTCTTACTTCCACATATTTCCCTAAGCAATTTGTGTTCAAACACTAATTTATGTTTGTTGTTCCCACAAAGAGATTACATTCTGCATCTTCTGACCTTACACATTTCTTGTATTTTTGGAGAATATTTTTGAATACGTCTTCAGTTCAACCTACAGAATTGAAGTTGCTGCCTAATGTCTTCATCTTAATTATTGTGCAGGTTGAATTATAAAGTCATGAACCTTTTGACCCCATAAAAGGTGGGAAATTTCTTGACCAGCTGAATGACTATTCAGCTTTTTAAGAATCAGTGTACTCCATAGAGTTAAGCAAGGACATTACACTTTGGTGGATTTATTTTCAGGCATAATCAGTGACCAGAACTCTTCTCCCAACATGCTCAGTTTATGTATTACAAATCTTTGTACCTTTGTTTTGGCAGATATGTTGGAGACTGTCAGATACCGTTAGCTTGCACTATGTTCCTGGAAGCCAGAGGACAAGAACTATTGCTCAAGAACCTTTATCGCAATTTTGTGCTTCATATGTGTAGTCTGTTTGACTTCGGTTTGGTTAGCCCTGTTACTTTGTACACCACAATACAGCGTTTACAGGACCTGATTGGAGAAAGTGGTGAGGTAAAAGAAATCTTGCAGAACTCTTGGCAAGCTCAGAGACGACATTGGCTAGCTGGAGGCTGCAGTGGACAGAACAGCCAACAGGAGAAAACAGGATCTGGTGATACAAGTATTAGAAGGAAGACAATGACACAGTCTCTGCAGATGGCAGGAATTCAGCAGCATGGTACTACCAAAGGACAAGTTATATCTATGCATGGACAGGGAAGAAAGTCAACCCAGTTGTCTTGTAACAGCCTTCACAAGGGACAAGCCTCGTCAAATTCTGTGGACTCTTCTCAACCCAAACGCAAGTCAACCCAAGCTACTGCTCAACAATCTTTACCTCTTGGTAATATACAGCATAATTCATTGAAAGGACAAACTTCGGTTGGGTCAGGAGATTCTGCAGTGATGTTGCAACAGAGAAGGAAATCAGCATCGAGTTTGGTCTCTCAAGCAAATGTTAATGGAAGTGAATCTCTATTGATGCAACAGAGGAGGAGATCCCTTGGTCCACAAAACAGTACAATACAGAATCAATCAGAAATAGTACCACCTCTAAGAAGGAAATCTTTCCATCAGCTTACTTCAACCTCTGATCAGATTGGTAGTAAGAATCAAGTTGTAGCTTCACATAATTCACAAGACTTGATGTCTTCACGTGTGTCAGAAGTAGCAGCTGTGTCACATAGAAGGAAATCTACACCAGGACAAAGTCCTGACATCAGTCATATGCACAGTAATCATTCCAGTAAGAGCAATGGAAGCTAGCCAGATATGTGTTCATTAGTATGGTAAAATAAATGACATATGAACCAGTGCACTGGCTATTTTGGATTGCCATAAGTGTTCGACGCAGTGTAAGATTCATTTAATTATGAAAATCTTGTTCATTTCTCTAACATATGAACATGCTTTTCACCTTTGTTAATTTTATAACTTTACTGTTGCCATTTGTGTTCAGATTGGATCTGTAACTTTGAAAGAGCAATGTCTGTGTTTTCGTACTGTGTCATGATCAGTTCAGAATATGGAATGCTAATTTGGCCCATGTCAGGGTAAACATTTTCAAAATAGCTATTAGTTTAAATTTCAGAATTGACATAATGGTGGGAGATACTTGTACATAAACTACAGCATCAAAGTATAAATGAAATTAAAAACAATATGCCATTATTTACATGTATTGAATTTTCTGAATTCAAGGCACAATTCAAAGTGCTTACTGTTAGTTGCAGTTGCACAGCTGTTATGTTATAAATAGATCTAATTCATGATATTTCTTCATGTATTGGTTCGTACAATAATGAGGTGATTGCTGTGAAAATTAGTAAACCTTTCAGGTAACATATGATGATTTGTGGAATGATTTCTACCTTCGATGGCAATCAGAATTTGTAAGCATAGATAACTAAGTAGAAGATTGGCATATCTGATACGAACTTGCTTTTGTGATGTGATATCATTATTTAGAAAAATGGAAGTGATTTTGGTATTGGTAGTAGATGTTTAATTTCTCTGTAAACATTCAGACATTCATATAGGAAAGTGATAGACTGAAGAAGTAAAAGTTGCATTGTTTTGTGTTACAAATGTTGGACAGCTAATGAAGAAACATTAACTTTCGTTAAAGCATGTCAGTTCAATAGGCTTATCTAGATGGAGCAAGAATATTAAAGTTTTTTATGTTTTCTTTATTATTATGAACGTTTTCCAGAAACAGATCTCATGTTCACTGCCAGCAGTTAATGTCATAATATTACAGTTTCTTCATGTTTTCATAACTAATGAAACAAATTAAATTCATTTGTCTTCAGCAATCTAGTCATGTCTGTATCAATCTGCTGTTGTGTATTCATGCAACATCTTCATACTTTTGTACTTAATAGTAAGTAAACATCATTTTTAAAACTAAAGGGTCCTATTATAAGTCTGTGTTGTCAATACAGAGGGCTGGGGAATTGAGTGCTAATAGCTAACTCTCTTGATTCGTGTAGTATGATACAGTATTTTGGATTTTGTCTGAAGTGAATCGCTCTTATGATAATGGGGAAAAAGAATGATCAGAGCTTGACTTCATACTTACATGTTGCACTTCTCACTAAATTTGTTTTTCTTGACATACAAAACTGATTATTTGGAATAGAATTGATTACAGGTCATTTTAAGGTTATTTGTCAAGTCTTGCAGATTTCAAATTAAGAAATTTTACTGTATTTATTGTAGGGATTTGAAGGAAACATTTCCTAAATATAAGCAAGGACTAGAATAGGAATTTGAACTGTACCCTAATGTATTTTTAAATAGTTAAAAATTATTTTTCTGAAGCACTGTTTCCACTTTATAGCATTGTTTTTGTCCCAGAAACCACATTTGACTCTTCAAAACTGCTACTAGATGAGATTTATGAAGTACAGTGATGAGTCTTATTTTCAGTATTTGGAGAGTGAAATTCTACTGAAATGCATTGTAATTTCATTTTTCAATTAATGCTTCTATCTTACATTTAATGTGTTTCAAGATTAATACATTTTCTAAAGTTCTGTGTTGTTTCAGCAGATTCAAAAATACCATCAATGATTAACAAGGTTTAGTGCCAGTTCTAAGCATGCTGTGTAACTTCACTAATTAAATCTGTAATCTCCAATGTTTGTGGTAGATATAATTGCAGTTCTATGAAAGTATATTGTAATACTGATAAGCGCATTTTTATGCTTAATGCGTTTCTCCAATCCGAATGTTTATTTTCACTTATCCAAATCATTTTTATTACTAAAATATTTTCTGTTCTGTAGAATGTATCAGGAATTTGGGTAGCCTGACCTTGAAATAGGTAAGAATGGGTAGTAGTTTTTTTCCTGTTAAAAAAAGAATGGGTAATCTTTGGCATGTTAACAAAGACCAGATTTTGATCACTTTGATGGTTAATTGGTGTTTTTACTTGTAGTTGTGAAGAAAATATTAAATTTTACCAGTTTAGGAAAGATTGTAGAGTAATTAGCATGTCAGGATAGATTCTTTGCATGAACTTCCTCCAATAAACTCTTTTAATTCAGCATCTTATTTTCCAGATAACACATGTACTTGCCCTGTAGTAATACATATGAAGTTGCATTGATAATCTTAGCATGTAACGTCTTTAGATCTCCCCCCTCCCCCCTTTTCTGCTGCCACCATCCGTCTTTAAACGTGATTGTATTATTTTCTCTGAAAATTATGCATTCCAAACTCAATTTGGTTCCTTCTAAAACTAATGTTATAGTGGGAATGAAGTAAATTCCTTTTTAGAACAACATTCAAGTATGAAGAGTGAATATGCATTGATGTTATATGACTGTTCAACCTGAAACACATTTTCTTATGTATGTGCAGATTTGTTATGTCATTCTGATCTTTCTTCTTTCAGCCTGCTAAGTGTTTTCCTTATTTTTTATTTTAAATCTTAATTGTATGTAAGTTCAGTATAAAAAATTGTCTTAATGCCTGATTACTGACATACTGGGAAATGGAAGTGAAACAGATTTTCATCCATGTAAACAATAAGTGCCCTTCCATATTGCACAGTAGCACTGTTATATCAAATTTAACCAAGCACTAATATGTAGCTAGACTTTTTTTATTGTGTAACTGTACAGAAGTGTGTGCATTAGAATACCAAAAGCAAATATTAAATTGTTCATTCTGGTAAGTTTTGAAAACATCAACTGAAAGTTGTGAACTGTTACTATGATGTGTTGCATTAAGGATATGCTACTGCTAAATATTATTTAACACTGCCCCGTGTGCTTTTGTTTCTACAGTCTTTGTCTAACTGAAAACTTATTTATGAATTTTATTTAAATAATGTAAAAGGAGGAGGCTTGAGAAAGTACAATAAATAATACCAAGTTGTTTCTGTTTTGTAAGTGATATGGGAAATTCTGGACCCAAGAAAATTTGTAGTGATTCATCCATTAACAAGTTAGATTTGAATTTCAGGCACATTCTCTTTATTTAGGCATCATTCATCTCTACATCAGTGCCTTACTAAAGTATAGTAATATAACATATTTAATTGTATGAACAGTGTGTATAGCATGTTTCATAGTGTTCTTGTAGAGTGTGATCAGAATGTGGTTTTTACATTTTATTGTACACTTCTTGTCCTATAATACATTTCAGAATTGTATGGTTTTTCTTAACTAGAGTCAGTGCTAAACAGAACTGAATCTTAATATGCAGTCAATGAATATTAAGTTGAAATAACAAAGCAGTTTGTATCCCTGTTTATCAGTTTTAATATACATGATCTAAAAATAAATAATATGGTTTTAAATTCATGTTCATGAACAGTGTCAGTAAAACACTGCAGAAGATTTTCAAAACATAGCTTTATGAAGATTTATCAGTGTGAGAATTTCAACCTCTACAACTCTGGAAGTAAGGGACAAAGCACTGGACTCTTTATGTTTCTCTCTGGTATGTTGGAGCAAATACAGTAATTTTGTTATCACTAAATGTGGTCTCTGTGTGTGAATGTTTGTAGTTAAATGAACAAATAGAAGAGACCTATTCAGTGGGTGCTCAAACCATTGGATATACCTAAGTAGAAGAACCTTATCTAAGGTGGGATAATTAAGTTTCTGCTATAATGCAGATTAAGAAAGAAGAGTTGGCTTCATTGCTAGTGTTTAAAATGGTATTTGGAATATTGAGATATGAAACCTTTTATCTGGCATGGTTTTTACAAAATTATTTATGCCAAGTTCTCCCTTTTTCTACACTGATTGAAAAGTCACAAAACCCGATCCTGACACATGCTCTGTAGGAAATGACCACCATATTTATTAATGCGTATGTATCATCCAAACTATCATCACTTTAACACCAAAGGTTTTCCAAAATTGTTTGGCACTAAATGAATCTCTAAACTCATTGTGAGAAGTTAAGTAAGAATGATATGCCAGGTAGTGTTTTAACAGTGAACACTGGGGCTTATGGAAAAGATGTCCTTGTACTTCAACTGTTGGAAAGACAACTGACAGCCTGGTACAAGCGAGTTAAAACATGATGTGGCCTGCATGGGCTCTTGTATGGTCACATTAATAATGTGTTTAATTAATCCAGTTAAATTGTATTTTATTGCAGTCATCAGTGAATATTTTAATGTGGGTTACCTGATAATTTTTTATGTCTATGGCCTGGTTGATAGATAGTCATAGCCCATTTTAGGCTCATTTTTATCCCTGCAGAACACCTGTTGTAATCACTGTCTGTTCACGTGTTACAGTTTGAGAATGGCTCTGGATTTTCATGAAATTTTATATTTGAGGGAGGGGTTACAAAAAATATTTCAGATCATTTAAATTTTGGTTGAAATGAATCAGCAATAACAAGCACTTACATTGAAGATGTGCATGCATTTCTGCATTGTGATTAGTTGATGCCATTAATAGATTTTCCTGGTTATTCACAAATGTCAAATTCTGGTTACTGCATGCCCTTGGTTTGGGGTGGAGCCAGCCAAGATGGAGAGTATGGTGAAGAATTCTGTGCCATGACCTTTTGAAATGCTTTTTAATCACTTTGCATGCATTTGCATCCCTTTGTAGCTCCTGTTAAAATACTTGTAATAATTCAAGAATGAATTTTCATGAAGACTGAACAATTCTTCTGACCACTTTTACAAGTTGATCTTCATAATGAAGAGAGCATTGAAAATTGGCTTTCATGGAATGCAAATGAGTGAACAAGCCAGAATTGTTATGCAGCCTCGAAAGGAAGATACCAGAAAAGTCAGATGGAAGGTCTCATTTCTCCATAGATTTTGATGTTATGGCTTTTAACATTGACGTAGTCACCAATGAACCTACCCGTCTGATAACTGTCTCTGATTGTTTTCTGCTGCATTTGTATGCCATTGCCAAAGATTCAGTTTCAGTTGGAATTATATAATATACAAACTGAGAATGAAAGGGATATATTTTTTGTTTCATAAAGCCAAAACCAAATCATTCAGTGATATAAATTGGGTCTTAAATGTTAGACTTTGGAATGAGGGCATAATACAAATGTATTTGTTATATAATTAGTACAGACAAGCCTGGAGAGAGTTATTTGCAGAGTTGACATCAAATGAACGTGTAATAGGAATTTTGCATGCTCAGGATCATGGGTTTTTAATTCAGGCAACAAATGTAGATACATTATTGTGTGTTAATGGTTTTTATGTGAAAAGTATGTTTCGTCTTCCATTTTGATAATTACAAGATTATTGTTTGATTAATTTTTATTTTAAGTTTTACTTTTAAAGAGTAAGAAGAAGACATTTTAATATAACATAACTTGTAGCATATGAAGGGACAGTTGGTTAGTTGCAATATTAACTAAAACAAATGTATGAAACTTGTATTGGAATACAAGCACCACCATCTTGTTTAATTTCTAGTTAAAAGTGGGACATTACATTCAGTTCATGTGAATGAAGAATTAAACTTCTCAGAATTGCATATAAAGCAGATCAGTGTTTCTTCATGTGTGAATCTTGAATCTAATACAGTAAAATATTATTATAACAAACTCCATCTATTCTTGAAAATTGATTTTGAAATTAAATGAAAATTTGTAACAATTCCAAATTATGTTGTGGGTAAATACCATATGTATTCAAGTAATTACACTTTTTGTTCTTACAGAAAGTCATCATGCATTGTAAGTTTAATATGTAATTACTGTGAAATTTGTAGCACTCACTTCCTGCCGCTATTTCAGTGAAAAGCTCAAGGGCATTCATTGCTCATGCCCCACAAAACTAGATGTATTGGTAGATGGCTGTCTTCTGGGTTGTTGCGCTGTGTAGTCTGGTAGAACTTTACCAACTACCAGACTACAGCGCAACAATCTTTGGATTCACCACAGTGAAAACCTCAAATCCTGCCTACATATATTGGTGCCTGATCAGCATCCAGTTTATTCATCTCTCTCCCTTTCCTTTCCTCCCACAGAAGCAGTATCAGATAGGTTTTTGTATTGCTGATTTGATCATAGCTTCAACATGACCATTGCTTCTGCATCCTTTTCTATTCATCATTCATTTGATGCAGTTGAAAAGCCATTCTTAAATCAGCAAAGAATCATTTTAGACTTTTGGGCAGTGTTTAGGGTTAATTCTTGGTACCAAATTTTGTTGAAGCTGAGTAAGTGGTTTTTTAGATAAAAATATGTACCCCATTAATTAACAGTGAATTCTTAAAAGAAGTCTTCAGTAATTGTCTGTGAAAGGAGGACTGAGAGTTTGTCACCTTTAAGGAGTTAAGAGGGCGTGGAGAAGAAATTGTCTGAAATGTTTGTAACTTTCTCCAGGTGCATATAACTTTCTTCAGAACTCAGTTCAAGAAAATTCTTTTATGGAAGTCCAGATTAAGTATGCCAAGGTACCAATAGTTTGGAAAGTAATACTTATGTATTTAGGTTTGTACCTTGGATTGAGATGTTTGTTATTGTAAGGAATTGATTCGTTTTTTCAAGATGACTGAGCAGAATTTTGTGTGCTGCCATTTACTGATATGCACATAATGTACTTTGAAGTACACTTTATTGTGTATGAAAATAATTTTGTTTTGGAATTATTGTACCACAGTTATGCTTCTCAATGTGTTTTGCCCCCAGCAAATTGGTATGGTGGGGTTTCTGTAACTTTTCCTTTCTTCTGTCAGTTTTATTTTCTGAAGTAATTTATCTTCTTGTATTCTGTCCTGACAGTTATTTAACTTTTCTTCAAAATTTTATGGGCATACTGTCCACACTTGAAAGTTAATTTACTGTAGTAACTAGTCCTTTTAAAATGAGATATGTGTTAAAATAAGTGAAATTTGTGAATGAAATATTTTGGAACTGGACCTAAGTGCAGGAACTACTATTCAAAGCAGTAGTTAAGGTTTTGGGCATTGTTAGTATGTACTGATACAGAGTTAGGTACTAAATTATACATTGGGTGCTTGTATATGTGTGTTCATAGAATTGTATTTGTAATTTTGCGCATTTATGTAAGTGGAGGATGGGAAGCTATGAAAGTACCAAAAATTACAAATGAAGTCATCCCTCCTCCCTTCACTGCTTGCATTTTATACATAATACTTATATTCATATTATTTGTTAGAATCTCCAGATTCATGTAGGCATTGGGCATAATGTGTTTGTTCTGGATACTGTATTTTCTTGAGTTTAAGACACTTTTTCCGAATATAATGTGTTTTCCCCCTTGAAAACCTATTACTAAATCAAGGTTGCATGTTACAATTAATGACGTCTTAAAATCAAGGAAATACAGTAATTTACCTATAATCAGACTTTCAAAATCTGCAGTGTGATGTTTGAAATTTGTTAGATATTTAATATGAACTAAATACTGACATAAAACTTCACCCATTTTCATTTGCAGTATTTCTTTTTAATAAGCAGAACCCTTTCTCTTATATGTAGACGAAGTGACGGATAAAGATGTAAATTTTGGTACTTCATAACTCAATATACTTGGAAATGTTTTCATAAAGACTCAATTGTGATCTATAATATTGTAGGTAGTTATGTAATGCAGGTGGTATGGATTAATAATTGAGTGGAAAGGTTAAAAAAAAAATTCAGTGGTATATAAAATAGCTGCAAAAATTGTATCTGGCGCCTCATTTGTTTAATTATATAGATTTTTCATTATCAAGAACGTATTTGTGACTTTCATTAGATAGGAATGCTTTAGTCTGTAATAGAGTGGATGAAAATAGATTACACTGTGCAGTTGGTATCTTTGAGTACCAAATCATGATTGGTGGGGTAAAGGATTTTTCGTATATATTTGAAGCACATTTTTGTTTTTTAATATACTGCAAAGTGTAATATTAGCCTATTTTCAAGTAAACATGTAAAACTTAGAACTTATCTTATTTGTAGTTGTGATTTGAAGTTATTGGGAATGTAGCTTTTGTTTATTGATTGGGTATATGTTACAAGAGATAAGTTTATGTGCAGTAACAAAACTAGGTCAGCTCAACTGCCTTCTCTGTTTTGTGTATATAATTTTAATTGGTTTAGTGTTTTACATCATTCTTGTTTGGTCTTATAAAGGGATTGGAACATATGCCATGAAGTGACTATAACAGTTTCATACACCCAAAACATTTTAGAGGTGTTATTACAAAAAGAACCAAATTTATAAACATTTTAGACATACTTTTAAATATATTATTTGATTTTTTCAGACTTGTCAGTAACAAGTGACTATCATAGTTTCAGAACATGTTATGAGTAAATGTTTACTTATGAAAGAAGATTAAATTAAAATATAAATTAATATTCTTATGGTATTTATTCACAGAAATCATTTACCCATGTAACTTAAAAGTTATTATAATAAAAAGATACACATTACTTTTATGAGATTTTGAGGTTTTCACAATGGTGAGAGTTTAGATTGTCGTCTTCTGGGTTATGATGCCATGGGGGAAGTAGGTTCCTGTGATACATTGGTAACCACCTGCAAGACCACAATTCAAACAAAATATGATTGAATGCTTCATTTCCTTTTCTACCTTTGTCACTGTCACTACTAGCAAGTAAGCTTGCTCTGTTCACTTTCATCTCAAAGGTCCACAGATCAGCTTCTGAGCCGGCTAATCCAGCAGTGACACTTCTTCGGTTCTTCAAGAAGATACCAGAATGTCCAGTCAGCAGGGAGAAAGGTGAGGGATACACAAGACAAAAAATGGCACACAATTGTAATAAAAAATATTTTTTTAATTATTTGCTGAATAGATACATTCACGTAAGACTTTCTCTATTCTGATGTGTGAAATATATTTAATCTTTTTCAGGCCGTAGTCTAGTGGTGTGAGCATATCTGGTTAAAGTACCACAGATTTCAGTTTCTTGTGATTGTCGCAAGTCACAAAAATGTGTATAGCATGATACATCTACTTTATATTCTTAATTTTAGTCTTTAATATTCTTTGGCTGTAACTTTTAATGTATTATATACTGTAACACCAGTCTGAACATCTCATGAGTGGTTGACAAAAAGGGTGTTAAAATTCAAGTTTATATGAACAGTAAGAGACTGAAGATTACCCCCATTTGCAGGTCAAAGCTTGTTGCTGTATGTAAGAATGGTTGTAATCTGCACAACAGGATGATGAAACAAAATTCTTATCCCATGTCATAAAATGTTCGCCACTTCAAATTATACCAGGTGTTAATAATACATTATATTATAAGATCATTGAACTATAATATTAAGTATGTCTGAGGGCTGACAGCTTTTCTTCTTAAGTTACTTTGGAATAATTCTAAATGGAATATTGAAATTGGAGGCACAAATTCAGAATAAATTAATTTGTTAATGATTTTCATAGAACAATAATTACATTATTCTGCAAGCTTGAGGAGACTTGGTGTTATATCTATTAAGACTTGCTTTACCAGGGACCCTTACTACTTAAAGGACAAACTCACAAGTGCAATGATTTATGAACTTTCTAATTTTACCACACATTTCTTTGATTACGCCAAGGTCAGATGCCCATACAATTCACTTTTCATCAAATTTATTATAAATATGTCCAAGAATAATCTGTTATTGTACTACAAAACATTATCCAATACTAGTAGTCAGTAACCCTTTCACTGTAAATAATTCAAATTCAGGTATGCTGCATGAGCAATTTATTGTATTTAAAGCTTTACTGTCATGGTTAAACTCTACAAATCATGCACAATGGAAATTCTATGCCCATAACAGAAAAAGGCAAAAAGACTATTATACTATGCCTTGTAATGAGGTAGATTAGGACAAATTAAGGACCTCACATTTTGACATTATGCGCCAAAGGACCAGCTCTTTAACTCGTTCATAGTTGAAATACTGTGGAAAATTAATTGGTAGTTGCTCCACCTGCCACTGAGAACCTGCAGGTCTTTCCTGAGCTTTCTGCAGACATTGTAGGAAATACTCATAGCATGGTGCAACTGAATCTAGGTCAGCAACTGTGAACACATACCTGAAAAAAGGAAAGATTATGAATAATCAAGCTCTCAAATTCTCAGTCTGAATAATGTGACTTTTTTTTCCTTTGATGTTTCATAAAAAGATAAGAACTCAGATGACAAGTTTAGGAAGAATACTGATGAGAAGGAATGAAATCAAAATGGGCCATAGGGCATAATACCATGATATAATCTTGGAACATTCATCTCAATGAAGAATCGTGCAATCAAAAACATTTTGGCAATATTTTGATATTCATACACGTTTCTTCCATGTCAAACGATGAATATGACTATCTGATTTACCTAAATTTAATGAGCCCTCAAATATAAAATGCTATCCCAAGTTCTGAAAATGTAAATTAAAAGAAATTTGATACATATTAGCTGTACAAAATATAGTTTATAAGTACATACAACTGTTGAGGTATCAAACATTTCTGGATAACTTCTTTTACATGACAGTTTGAATATAAAATACAAGAGGTATTGGGGAAGGTTTGAGAAATAGGGTTTAAGATAATAAGACATTTTGTAAGCCAGTGTTCTTAATAAATTCATGTATCAGGATAGGAAAAACTGTAACAGAACCAACAGCAATAGATTAGCCCCAAGGTTCAAACCTGTTTAAATCAGGGTGGTTGAGATGTACAGCATGCATGTGAAACAAAATATGCTCATAGTTTTGGTTGGAAAACCTTATGGCCACTTGGAGATTAAAGCACAAATGGGATGATATTATTAACATGTATTTTAGGGAAACTGATTGTGGGGATATGTACATAACTGAATTTGGATCCTTGGATGGGGTTTTATGGTCATGATAAACTTTCACATTCCATAAAACAAAATTTTCAAACATATGAATAACTAAAAAAGAAAAACACACACAAGTGTTAGTTACCAGTACATAAATTAGATTTGATGGACCTAGACAGAAAGAACTGTTACTACACCATTGAATACACTGCATTTATAGTCACCTTTTCTCCAACGCAACATATACTGTCTTGCCTGGGGGAGTGCTCAAAAGTCTCTGCAAGGTGTTTACAAATGCTTCTGTCACATCATTGTCATAAATCACTAGAATTTTAAAGGGGGCACATGATTAGTGCAAAATACAAGGTTCATTCATTGCATTAGTCTATTCGTACAATGTTATGCATTAACAAAGCTCTAATTTCAAATGATTTTAATCTCACCATCAGCAACAAGTATCACTGTAACATTTGTTAGTTTTGCTTCAACATTAGGGCACCAGTCATTTGCAAAGAAATCAAGGCCAAGAACAATGAAATTAGCCTTCAGAAGCTTGCAATTTCTAGCTGCATTTGCTCTGATGAGTTCCAGGATGCCTCCCACTTCAATGTCTACCAAGAAGAAATAATAATGAAAAATACAGAAATGAAAATATTAACCAGTGCAATAATAGTTACTTGTTATCTTAATAATGTTTCAGTAATAATATATATGATGAATGAAAATGGAATCATTATTTTACTCTTTATCATGCCTCATACAGTGGAATGTTATAAAATTACATATTTCTGCTGATGCACTAAAATATGGTTCATATATTGCATTTAGATGAACTTGGCTGCTAGTATCAGATACAGTGAATTGAAATGGTATGGCAAAAGTAAAGTTTAAAATAACAGGCAAGCAGATACGAGGCACATCCACAAAGTAAGTTTCCCTGGGGCCGTTTACAGAAACAAAACACAATTTCATGGAAATATTTATTGCAACAGATACAGCAAGTGTCCAGCTATTTTTCAACATATTCGCCACCGGAATTGAGACATTTGTCATACCGTGGGACCAACTTTTGAATACCTGTGTCGTAGAAGTCTGCCGCCTGGGATTGGAACCACTGTGTGACAACCATCTCCGCCTCTCTGTCATTCTCAAAACGCTGACGCTGACCGGACAGGAATTTCTTGAGGTGTAGGAAAAGATGGAAATCACTGGGAGCGAGGTCCGGGCTGTAGGGTGAATGATTAAACACCTCCCAGCTGAACTCCTGCAGGAGACTTGCTGTCCGTCGAGCCGTGTGCGGCCTAGCGTTATCACTGACCGCACTTCACAGTCGGCGGGAGCTGGAATAAGAACCTCCATCTTCAACAGCTGCAACGATGCTACTGTGAGAACGCGGGAAGTGCCGTTAGTGCATGCGCCATGCTACGTCATTGCTCTATCACGTACGCACAGTCGCTTCGCGCAATATAAGGTTTGCTAGCTGTGGGACGAGTGGGAAACTTAATTTGTGGACGCGCCTCGTATTAACTGAAAAGAATTATACATGCCTTGATGCTGTATATAATAACCTAATTTTTTTTTTATCACCTGTGCATATTACTTCTGTTGCAAACATGGCTGCCACAATGCTAGTAAGACCAACACCAGAACCCAGTTCTAGGACTATATGATCCTGCAGAAATGAAGGCCCATGATGAAGTAGAAAGTCTCCCAAAAGCAATGCACCACGCCAAATCTGACGACCCACAAGCGCCAGTGTTGTTGAATAACTATGTTCTGAACAAATCAGAGTTTGGAGTATTAATACATTAACTGTACATATTTAACAAATCTCACTGGCACTGATGTTTCACTACTGGGGCTAGAACATTTCCTTTGAACAGGTGTTATCTATACATAACCATTTACCAATTTCAATAATGCCTTCTTCTTGGATCTTATCAGCTTTCCTGCATACAATAAGATCACCATCTTCATCTATCCTCACTCCACAGTTTTTATCTGAATGTGAATACTCAATGTTGAGCGGGTATTTGAATGAAAATCTTGAAACCACATCTGACAAAATAAAAACAGAGAAATACAGATATTGAATTAAACTACAAAGAAACATCTAACTACCATTTGGAAATTATATGAATGATCAGCTGATGAATATGCATTTTGTTAATATGAACAGACATAAAACATCACTTTTTGAAATTAAATTCCTTTACTACATACACCATAAGAAAACTGTATTTTTAATCTGTAATTTCTGGTACTCAAAAGACCCACATATGAACTGATATCAGTTTAAGAGCCCTTGAAAAGAAACCTGTCTGTTAAGATTCAGACCCAAATAACTTTGGAAGTTTATACATTTTTCAACACACAGTATTATAGAGTAAAAAACCTTGAACACATTCTTGAACTTCAAAGTGGCCCCAAGTAATCAATTTCTGTTTAATGAAGAAACAACTGGTAAGAAGTAGATAAATTAGTTAACACTTTGTAATGTAACAATATGTGTACTTCTACACACACCCACAGATGTTCTGGACAATACAGAATTATGGAGGTTCTAATTCCTATGAAATCTTTCAAACATTATTAGCTCAGCAACAGTGTCATACATGTACACATAGGATTCTTGTGAATTACTGTAGCCAAAACATGGCAAGTTACCTGTAACATGCTCATAGCAACAAATACATAGTATCACCATTAAGTAACTGAATGGGAATTATGATTGAAAGCAGTTATATCAGTTTTAAATCATAAATTGTAAAACCAGATTCAAATCTAGAAACTTCAGGCATGTCTCAGCTTGTGTAGAACTGTTTTTCATGGTTATTCAAGTATTGGTTTCTAGCAGGGCCACAGTCTTCAACACTAGTTACATTAAAAGGGTTTCTTTTTGCATTCTGAAATCCATATTTATAATTTAATATATTATAGTCAGTATGTAATGACTTGTTTTTATGACAAATCTGTTTGGTCAGAGGTAAATAGTTTCCTTATAAAGAACCCTTATAATACCACAAAGTACTAACTTTCTGCTGATAAACTAGGTTTTGCTGCACTGTCTTTGTTTATTGCTTGGTGTATCTCAGATGTGACATGATATTCATCACTAGACATCTGAAACAGAACAGAATATAATTTATTTTCATTCTATAGATTGGATGCAGCTAGCTCAGGATGGAGTCCAGTGGTGGGCTTTTGTGAACATAGTGATGAAATTTTGGGTTTCATAAAGAAAGTGGGCTATTCTTTGACAATCAACTTTTCAAAGAATATCCACACCATAGAGTGAGTGAGTGAGAGTTCAATAGATCCTTCACAGGCCCAAGACAAGAATGTAGAACATGTAATAGCACAAAGAGTTAACAAATATTAATAAATAACTATTATTCGCTTTAAAACAAAGGTAAGTGTAGTAAATGAGCACTTCCCTTGTAGTAGCACGGCAGAGTTTTCTAAAATCGTATACATATATACTCCACATGAAGAATATAGGGCATATTTAACCTTCAGTTTCCAGGAATTTCTTTTAAGAAGATATCAATATCTTTAAACAGAACGAAAAATATATTGTATAGTATTTAGCATTTAAAAATATGTCTGTATATGAATTCTAACACCTCTTTTAAAATAAATTATTTTTTCTTAACATATGAATTAGTCTTATAGCAATTCGAAATATATTGGCAATACTGTTCCATTTGTGGTTATATAATCTATGCCATAGTGTAATCATCTGTGGGTTGTATTCGCATTGTTTGGTTATGGATGCAATTTGTATGTGTGTTGTTAAAAGTGTTGGTGTTGCGCTGTAGTGGAAAGAATTTATAGGATTTTATTATTATATTTATTTCCTCTCCTCTTACTTTGGTTTTAGGCAATGACAGCCTACTTTTATGTTTATATTACTTGCAAGTAGTTCATTTTAATAATCGACAGAAGTAAGAATTTTGTGCATAATTTCCTTTTATGTTCACGTTATTTGGTAAAATAACAGTCCAGCAGAGTTTTGACTGAATTGTTAGGTACGTATAGTGTAGTATGTATTTTCCTCAGTTGTTAAAACATCTTCAGTACTTAGTCTGAACTGAAGTTTTACGTTGTTTTCATTTTTTAATTTCACATTCGTCATTTTTACGAAGTACATGTGCCGAGTTTTGCTTTGTAGTGTGATATCAAATATGAAGATTGCTGTTGAGGGTTGTGCTCATGGAGAGATGGAGAAAGTATATGAAGCCGTTCAACATTTGGAAAAGAAAGATGGAATTAAAGTTGACCTTTTAATCTGCTGTGGAGACTTCCAAGCAACAAGAAATGAAGAAGATTTAAGATGCATGGCAGTGCCACCTAAGTATCAGAAAATGTGTACTTTCTATAAGTAAGTTGTTGGTTTTTCAGTATGTAAAATGTTGTAATGAAGGTACTGTTACTGGCCATGTACTACTGGTTGCTCAAAATCAGTAGTTGAGGGGAATATTGTATCATGAGGCCAGGCCAGTTTACTTACAAATAAGGAAAATTATGAGAACCTGAAAACATTTTACAAGCCAAGTATTGTTTACCTTGCTGTGTCTTTCCCCTCGCTCTTCATTGACTGATATTGTATTTAAAACACACTAGCAATGCATTAACAATATTATGCAAGCAGAAAAGATATCATGTCATAGTACAACAGGAAACTACTGTCTCTGCACACAGAGTAGACTTCCTGCTGTGTTGCTGCCCCATGATACCAACTCATGACTAGTCAGCAGTACCAAATATTTTACTTAAGTGCATGTTCTTATATTTGCTTTAGAGAACATTTGACCAGCATTTGAGAACATCTATAAGGAAATGGGAATGCTTATTTGTAAACTGAATAAAAGTTAATGTTACGAATAATTAATAACTTTTCAGTGTTATGTTTTTTGTGTTACACAGTTTGTGGTATTGAGTGGATTTTTCCTTTTACTTGGTACTGGATTTTAGTTATTAAATAAATAATTGCTTTTCATTTATATGCTGTATCTGTGACATAGTTTGACATAATCATAATATTTATTTTCAAATATAAATTCATTACCACTTGTTGCTGAAAAATATAGAAAGCTTACCGGTGAACAATTATAACAAAAGGGTTCTTATTCTTCTTGTCTTGCAGACAGTTTGTTGCTTTACCCTTGTGATTCTTGTTGTAGGTATTACTCTGGGGAAAAAGTTGCTCCAGTTTTAACAATTTTCATAGGTGGAAATCATGAAGCATCAAATTATCTACAAGAATTGGCATATGGGGGATGGGTTGCTCCCAGAATATACTACATGGGCTATGCTGGTATTGTGAATATAGCAGGGGTCCGAATAGGTGGTTTGTCAGGCATCTACAAGGGCCATGACTATTGTAAAGGGCACTTTGAAAAGTCCCCATATACAGAAGATACCAAAAGGAGCGTGTATCATGTCCGAAACTTGGAAACTTTCAGATTAAAACAGGTCATTTGCAATTATAAATAATATACTTTCATGTTATTAACAATGTATTAGCCTGGTGTAGTATTCTACCGTCTATAACTTTTGAGACTGGTCCTCCTCCATTTCTTTTTGTTGGGGTGTACTATTTGGAGTTACAAGTGCATAGTTTCTACAGTGTTTCACTACTTAAATTATGTTATTAATTTATGCTGTTGCTATACAGACTTTTAATAAAGCATATATGTACATGTAAGATAGATGGAAGTTATAATAAAAATATGCAAAATATATTTAAAAGAAGTGAGTGAATTGTCAGTTGTGAAGTTTCTAAACATTTGAACTGTATAGTAATTCAGGGCATATTTTTGATTAATTAACTATTGTAAAATTAATGCACTATTAATTTGACACGTTACCCCAATTAAAGTAAATTTTGATCACTTTATAATGTATACATATCATCAAACTGATGCATATTTTTGGACCACACATCATTTTGGAAGCAGAGTCAGCTTCCAAAACCTTGTGTGGTTTTTAAACTGAGATGAACAAAATGCCCAGGAATATTCATCAATTTAATGTCACACTTTCATCAGAGATCTTCATACTAATTCTGTATACACCATGCTGTCTTGTCTTTGATACATGAGATATAGCTTTGCATGTGAAAAGGCTCATTTGTACCAACTTTTGGCTTCCAGAACCTTTTAATGCTCTAAGTTTGTTTTAGTATTTTTTATTTACCCTCTTCCCAATCAATAGTTTTGAAGGGCATAATGCATCCATGCTTAACTGTAAGCATACAGAAACTGGGCAGTAATTTCCTATTACTTGGGCAAATAGAGTAATATGTAGAATGTATTTTAGTATAAGCATCATAAATGTGTGTCAGTTATAGTCAGCTATAAAGTAGGATTAAAAGTTATACATATGTTAATTAGCATTAATTTATTTAGGTTCGACAGCCTATCGATATTTTCTTCTCCCATGACTGGCCTCGAGGAATTTATAATTATGGGGATACCAATCAACTTCTACAATTCAAACCTTTTTTCACGTAAGTTTTTCATTCATATTCTACTGTAGCAGTATTTTTACTATATTTTGTGAATGTATGTATGTATGAAACTATTTCATGGCAGAAAATGGATTCTAAGGAAATAATTTTGAGTATGTGAACTTTATTCATCTGGCTCAGGATAGAGTCCATTTGGAGGATCTTGTGAACATGGCAATGAATTCGAAGGTTCCATAAAAGGTAGGGAATTTTATTGCCAGCTGACTGACTACTAGCTTCCCTGTTCCACGAAGTTTATTGCTCAGGTGATTCCATGTTGTAATGGAACCCCCATGTAGTCAGCTAGTTTTTTTGTTGAGGTAGTAACATGCAAGTTTTATTTGTTTGTTAACAGTAATGAAGTAAAGTGTAACACACTTGGTAGCAGGCCATGTGAAGAGCTGTTGTATCATTTGAAGCCCACATACTGGTTTGCTGCCCATCTGCATGTTAAATTTGCAGCTCTTGTACCACATTCTTCAGTAAGTACTTATAACTATTTATTAAAAATATGTTGGACTTCATCTGAAGATCTCTTTTATCAACACTATATGCATGTAATATTTGAAGATTCTGTTTGGATAGTATGGAGTGTTACATGGGACAGTATAGAGTATACAGCTTTAGACTTGGAACCATCATTTGTGTGAGCAAACTTTTATTAGGCACTGAAAGAAGTTTCAGTAGTTGTGTTCTATTTCAGCAGTGTTCGAATGAGTATATACACTTGCTTTAAACTATGCTGACATACCAAGCAAGTACTGGTACATATCATTTATTCATATAATGGCAACATATAACTATTACTGTAGGTTTTGTAGGCTTATATAATTACTTAAGCAACATACAGATTTTTTTTTATTATTCTTTTTTCCCCCTGAACAAAGTGACAAATGATATTTGACACAACTGAAGTATGACAGGCTACATGTTTATTTTCTGGTCAACTTTTTTGAATTATTATGTTTGGATGGCATGACTAAGACAAGTTAAGGAACCTTGTGCAAGATAAGAAATTAACTGTGGATCTCTCAAATACAAAACAGGAATCTTAACCACCATACACAAGATTTTCAATTTTGGTGTCCCTGTCATAATACAATAAATACATTTTTTTTGTGTGTGATTTCTGTAAGTGGTGCTCTTCAGTGTCAAGTTCATATTTATTGTTAATCTAACATTTTCATATCTCTTACTTTTTATGTAATGTTATTTAATTCTACATTTTCATTTCCATATAGGATAATGAAGATACTAATAAACAGACAACCAAATTTTTGGCATTGGATAAATGTTTGCCAAGAAGGAAATTTTTACAGGTGAGTAGCACTTCTGTGGTTGCTGGTTCCCTTTCATTGCTTATATGACATACTGCATTTGACACAGCTCAGTTCTGTCACAACCTTAAAAATCAAAACAGAAGTCCTAGCAAACCATTATATAAGCCTTAATACCCTTCCAGTCTTATGTAATTGTGTGAAGTATTCTGTTTTTGTTTGCAGATTGTTGATATACCACACGATCCAACGAAATCAATTGAGCTTGAATATGATTTGGAATGGCTTACAATACTTCATTTTACAAATCACCTTCTCAGTGTGAGAAAGACAAATCAGTATATGCCTGGGCCAGGAATGGATGGCAGGTCTGTTCTAATTAATATTTTATTTTAACATTGTACCATCTTTTTACATAATTGAAATTTAAAGTATATTAGGTAATAATTATTTCAAGAGTAAGGTACATAAGTATTAATTCTGCTAGTGAAGTGAATTTAATCTAATAGTGGGAATCATTTACCGATTTAAAAAATGACAAAAATTGTGATAAATCATAATGAGACTGATGCTTTAAAGTCCTTTCTGCATCTCAGTTGTTTTCTTCTATATTGATGTCTTTACAAATGGACAGATATATGTTAACTGTTTTTATGAGAGTATCTTTGTCATGTTTGTTCTTGTACTTGGCTTCAGAAGAAATATTGTTGGTTAGCTTAGTGATTGCCCACTTGACTTCTAAGATTAGAAAATAAATTGTGGCAAGACTGCTGTGCATGCACAGAATTGTATAAGGACAGCTAAGCATTCAGTTTGCTGATAGTACCAAGTATATCAGCTGATGTGATAAACCAGAAAGTTGGGTTATCGTTATGTAGTGCTCTTACCCGGTGTCCTACGTGAGCGATTAAATGCGAGGGGTGCGAGTTGCGTGGGTGAAGCGGAAATATCAAACTGGCTGTTTGTGTGGCGCTGTCCTAGGTTACAGCGAAGCGGTCGGCGACCAAAGTCCAAGATCAAATATTTTGATATTTTCGCGCAGGTCGCTGCGCTGACCAGTAAGGCGCATGCGCAAGAAAGCTCTGCCTTTGCAGTACACGGAAGGGGCATGCGCAGGAAGGCCGAGTGTTTCTCTCACATAGGACACAACAAGCGATTCCCTTATGTCATATGACACCGCATGCTGCTTATGCAGCTCGCTTCTTATCGCTTACGCAGGACATTGCCTTAAAGCATGTTTACATTGTTGGAGGAATGCTTTGCAATCAGAATTCAGGATCTTTACTAATGACTGATACAGTTGCTATGTTTTTTTCTTTCCTTTTCTCTCTTCCCCCCACCCCCAAAGCATAGAAAGCATAGGCCAGTGTTAAAGTTAATGCAACTCAATCTTTACAGATGGGACTTTGTGCCAACAAACGAGGAGATGGATTTTGTGCGACAAAAGTTTGGTAATAATTTTCTTGTCCCTGAAAACTTTACACAGACTGCAGTTCCATTTGAACCGAAAAATCAGAATAATTCTTCGTATAGGAATAGTTATTCTTATAGTGATCAAGCTCCAGCATGTATAAATGTACAGACAACAGCATTTTGTGACAGGCTGAGTGTTGTTGATCCGATGGCATTGCTGTTACATTCTTCAAAAGAATCATCCTTTGATTCTAACCAGGTTAGAAATACTTGATTTTACTAAGTACTGTGTTTGTCAGTTTCTCCCTTTTCCTTCTCTGCATTATTTTCTTTTCTACCACTATTCTGTTTTCTCTTCTTCAAATAATAGATCATTGTAAGCATGTTACATTTCCTCAGATTAAGAGAGTGCCTGTTATTGTATTTATTAATACATAATAACTGTTGTCATATATGTCTTTAAGTCATGTGTAAACCTTACACAGTGGAACCTTGATTTCAAATTCCTTGTTGTTGGGTTTTCCTTCATTTTTGGTCTTGTTTCGCAATACCAAATTAATAATCTCCTTGTATTTACTACAATTTTGGTTTACATCTGCTGTTATATTTACATCCATTGTCCCACAGACAAACTTTTAAGTGTCTTATTATTTACAGATACATGGAAAGAGAATTGCTGATAAAAATGGGTCCTTATGTATTGGCTATACCATCTCTTTGAGGGAAAGATATCACCAATATAAAACCTCTTCAAGGATATGAGGTTTTCATGGCTGTTTGTCTGAAGATGGCTGTCTTCTGGGTTGTTGCACCATGTAGTTTGATAGAAGTTTACTGACGTTTCAGAGGTCCTTGCTGCCTCCATCATCAGGGTGATGATGGCACCAGGGACTTCTGAAATATTGGTAAACTTCTACCAGACTACATGGTGCAACAACCCAGAAGACAGCCATCTTCAGACAAACAGCCATGAAAACCTCATATCCTTGAAGAGGTTTTATGTTGCTGATGTCTCTTCCCCTCAAAGAGGTGGTATATTCAGTCACTTCGTACAATATTCTATATAACAATGGTTTTGTTTCTTTAGAGCAAGATGGCCTGCTGCAGTACACCACCAAATTACCTGACACCAGAATGCTCTGGCAATGTCACACAAGTCTCTCTGGATGACAGTTCCCACATTGATACGCTAAGTGACAGCATGAAGTCAGATTCCTTGAAATGTTCCATCTCTTCAAGTCCATTGCAAAGGTGCTTACGTCTTGCCCTTCCAAGTCCCCATTATAGTGATCTGGATGAATCCATGAGAAGTTTTGGAGATGATGCAAACAGTTCCCCTGATTGTTTACTGTTGTCACATTCACTTCCAAGTCCAAAAGACAGTGATGCTGATGAACCAGTTTGCAGTGACACTGGAAACTCATTTTCTAGTTCCTCAGAACTTACTTCAGGAGCATCCATCACAGGTACTGAATTAATTTCACAGAATATTTGCAACTGACAAAATATGAATGCATTGAAATCATCAGTCATCATAATAAATATCACTGGACCTTGTTGAAAGTTGATTTTGTAATATTAAATGTCATTGTATTAAAAAGTAGTAGAAATATGTAACCAAAAATTGAAAATTATAGGTCTCTGGTATTTATGTTTTAAGGTAAAGTTGTTTTTATAACGAATATGTGGTTTCATAATGTATTTTGAATATAAATACCATACTTGCACACATATAGGTCACTCATTTTATTCCAATTCTTCAGTCAGAAAATACAAGTTAATCCTGTGTTCAAGTTAGTCTGTGACATATGCTCTTTTTCAGCACACCTAGGGCAATAGCCTGTCCATAATTTTTAAAATTTTGAGAGATTGGATGTAAAATAATTTAATAAATCAGAGAGGAATATTAAAACACAGCATTTCAGCACTGTTTCATCTTAAAATTCAGCTTAAACAAACTTCATACCATTATGTATGATCTGAAGCTTTCACAGTGACTTAAGTACAATGCATTCTTCTCAGGCTACCAGTTTTCTCCATTAAACCACTTTACATGGCTGGTAGCCCAAGAAGAATTCATTATATTAGTACCATTATGTTTACACAGATTCATACTCAAATACATTTGTATAAATAAAATAACTGCCAAGGTAAAGAAACCTCTTTAAATAGTAAACTGTTTTTATATTCGTTAGGTTTTGAAGTAGTTGCAGAAACAAGCATTTCATCTTGTGACGAGCCTAAACTGAAAAGGTTCAAACGTCGTAATCAAGCACTATACTCCAGTGCAGAAGATGATGGTTGATAGTGACATGCTATAGCAGAACTGTATAATCAGTAAGAAAATTAATAGGACATACAAATATTATGATATGATTTTCGTAAAATCATGAACATCGGTAATATTTTTTATTTTGTCAACTTTATTTTAATGTTAACAGAAATATGTTTTATATAATGGCCATGCTGTAATGAAAAGCATGTAATTTCTGTGAAATATAAACATTTTAACTATATGCACAGAAAATACCATTTGTGTGTTAATTATTCATTTTCATGTTTCCATTCAACAGTTTTCTTAAAATTGGAAGAGATCTTTATTCATTGATGGACAGAGATGTTTGAGTCTTCATGATGCCCAGTTTAATAAATCACACTTCTCAAATACTGACAAATCCCTTAGGTTCAGATCTGGATAAATTTAGAAACTTTGAATAGTGTCTGTATATTTGTGATTACAGATAGCAATCATGCAATACATGCTTCTCATGAAGAACTTTGTTCCATGTAGTTACATAGAAAACTTTCATTTTCCTATAATATTGAGATTATAAATTTGCTGTTTTGTCATTTGAAGTCCATCTGTGCAGTATGTACATTTTTGTACCAAGTTCATTTTAGATGTGGAGAACCATTTTCTAAAAAGAGAGAGAGAGAGAGAGAGAGAGAGAGAAAGAAAGAAAGAAGAAAAGAAAAGAGACTTGAAATGTATGAGGGTAGCTCAGTAGCTCACCTGGAACATGAGAGTCATGAGTATTATATCGTGCAGCAGAGATTCATTGGTGGCTGCACAGGCGATGTACAGCAATACTCAATGTTTCAAACAAATGTGAAAGACTGGCACAGACAGTTTTACCAAGGTCAACAGTCAGTGACTTATATGCCACAGCCTGGTACAGCACATGTTGCCACAACAGCCATTAATATTGCAGCAGTACCACAAGACTTCGTGTCCACAAGGGACACTGATTCCAGTTGGACAATAAAGTGAAACAAGCTATCCATGACTTTCCAGCAGCAGTCATTGGTGTTCTAGGAGAAAGGCATCCACAAGGCACTCACAGCAACAACCTTTGGGTTCCAAAATTTATTATCTATCAGAAGGACTGCTAATTAGAGTTAAGAACAAAGTTACCTGTTTGAAAATCATAGATTCAAAATGAGCCATAAGTCTCCCCTCTTATTCCTGTCTTCATGTGGTATTTGCCATTACCTTTGTAAAAAATGTATATAACAGACATGTGTTAGTTGGTGAACATCTTTTAAATCATTATTAGACAACAGATAAAGTAAAAAAACAATTGTATCTCTTTGGCATAAGTTTTATTGACTAACATCTTATTTAATCATGTATATATTTCCACGAGCTTCACTAAAAAACACGAACATGTTTTAAACATCATTTTCTTTCTTCTCTACCTATAAAATTGTTTATCAGAAATTGGTTGTTGACAGACAATATAAATTTCAAGGATCTTTACGTATTACAAACTGATCAAATAACGCATTGTATAATCTATGATATATGTTAAAATGTATGTGCTGGTATGCAGTTTTTTTGAGATCACTGTTTTCACTACATTAAATCATACTATATTCTTTAATTCAGCAAAGGTAAGTAATTATTTTAATATTTGTTAGACTTAAGTAAAAATACCTTTTTTAAGTACTACTTGACACCTCCCTGTCATTGATAGGTATTTTTATAAAGTAGTTCACATAAATACTTTTACTTAAATCATATATTGATATTGGAAATACATCAATTTGTATTGTAGGTTTCAAAAAGAACATGTCATTCTACACATTTGGGTTTGTTCACTTTATACCAAGGTGAATCTGGCATGAGTGAAATTCCACCTCTGGATTGAGAACATCTCTAGGGTTGAAATCCATTTACTTCTGGGGATGTGATAATAGTTACGATGGTCACCTTGATGTTAATGAACCACAGCAGGGGGCCTGGTACTTGCCACATTCCTAATACATTATTCAGAGGCAACAGAAGGAATGCAAAAATATACATAATAAATTCAGATTGTCAAACATGACATGTTAGGCCTATTAGTTACCCAGAGACTACCACAGCCTCAAATTCATTTTACTCACCTCTGAAAGAATATAAAAAAATTCTGTGAGAATTATTTAATGACTTTTATTAGTACTTGCTACTGCAGTTACATAACAAGAGTTTGTCTAATTTTCACACTTTAAGAAAGACAACATCACAGACAACAAAACATATCACCATGGTCTAACACGGCTTTGAGTTGCATGTGAAATAATCCAATGAACTTCATCTGGTGCCTTCATAGACATCTGCTTATGGCGTGGGTGTGTTTCACATATCACATACTTCCTACCATGTCGCACAACAAAATAACAATCCTTGCACCTTCTTTTTAGTTTCTGTTTCACTTTAAACCCACAAGATAATGAAAGAATTGGAACTGTGGGAGTCAACAGTTGTAAACCCTCATTCTTCACTACTGTACTGTTCACATTTATCAAATTAAAAGTTTTTGTAATTCCATAATAGCTTCTCTGTGCATCATAGCTAATAGGTGGCATATTCTGTATGAATTTCAATGCTCCCGTCTTCCATGTCATAGACCTTAATGAAGCAAATATGTTCATTTTGTCCTGAAAAACATGAAAAATAAATTAGCTATGAAGCCTTGTCTGAATTTGTGTTGTAAGTTTTATTGATATTTCTGTGACGATAATGGTAAAACTAACAAACATAACCTCATCCAAAAATCTTATTGTGAATACCAAGTGTTTACATCGTGATACATATAAGCACATTGTACTGCTCCTAACCAATGAACTGCATATTCTTTAAACTCTGTTAAAGTTTTAAATTAGTAAATTATGTACCAGCATAATTTATTCTGTCATGTTCAGAGCACAGAACTTACATAAAATATATTACCAACAAACACAGGTCACAATCTACTAGTGACAGGAATAAATAAGGTGTGTTCATTTAACGATGATGGAATGTAAAGTGACATCATCTTTAAAATCCCTCCCATTTCCCTTCATATAATGAAGTTTATATTACAGAACCGTTTATAGCTTTTCTAATTTATTAATTTTCCCTAGTAAAACAGACAGCTTCAATTTGTTTGACCAGTTTTGCCTAATACCAGAATGGTTGGCAGAATTGGTAATATTAAATGGCGGTTTCGGGAGCGGTTGGTTATGAGTTGTTTTCATGAATTGTGTTGTATGCTTAGTTAAGTAGTTTGGTTGGTAAGTTGTTTTAATTGCCCGATTACAATAATCACAAAAATCACATCCTTTCACTTTTATTGGTGGAAAGACTGGATGCCAATTTTTATTTGCCGTCTTTCTAACCATATAAGTATGAGCAGAATTGTAATATTTATGATATGGTCGCTCTCGGTGGACTAGTGGTTGGCGTGCGTCAGTGGGCTGGTCACTCACTACTCACAGATGCACACTTCAAGACCAAGAAACATCCCACATGGGAGGAGGCCAAGGCCCGATATGGGCTGCAGAGCCATTAGATGGATGGATTTATGATATGGTTTAGTGAAATTGTTTTATTTGTATATATTCAATTTTTAGTTAGAATTAATTTTGTTCTGGCCTAGTTTTGCCTTAGATTCTGTTGTTGAGTTGCAGCTTAAGGTGCATGAGATTTGACGTTTTGTAGATGTTGAATTGAATAGAATACTATTTCAAGAACATTGTACTTTGGAGTGTAGCACACAGTGGTGATAAGATGCCAACTGTTGTACTGACACAGCTATCTTTTCTGGTTCCCAGTAGGGGGCTCTTTCTATTAACCTAGACCATCTCCTCAGTCTTTGGCTCTGATTGGCCAATATTCACTAAACTGGCCCTCCTCATAACTCTGTATAAAGTATCCACTACCTAGCATACTCATTTCAGCCCTGAAGATGTCAAGTCTACATGGCATTACAGCTTGGAAGACCAACATCAATATATTCACTGCTAGGAGAATTAAAATCTTATGTGTATGACTAGCAAATACAATTTTTATTATGCATTGGTTGCACAATGTGTGTGAAACGATTGCATATAGCCAGGATAGCTCAGTCAGTATAGTGACTAGCTCCGGGCTGGACGACCAGGGTTCGATCCCCGACGGGGGCAGAGGATTTTTCCTCTAGCCTCTGCGTCCAGACCGGCTCTGGGGCCCACCCAGCCTCCTCTACAATGGGTACCGGGGTCCTTTCCCGGGGGTAAAGCCGGCCGGGGCGTGATGCTGACCACTCACCCACATCTAGTGCTGAGGTCAAGGAAGAGAGGAGCTATACCTCCACTCACCCAAATGCCTGTATGGTGTATAGTGGGACAAACTTTATAGGGCTGGTCATGCATGTCTGTCTATATGATTCAACTCAAGAACCACTAGGCAAATTTGGATCAAGTTTGATATGGTTGTTGTGCATTTGGGGACTATTCTAAAATTGTACTTTCAAGTTTCTACAATTGATAATATGAACATGGCAGACAAACTTGGATGTAGGATTGATGCTAGCACCACTTGCAGTAGGGCCTGCAATGTAATATGGTTATAGGTTTTCAGAAAATAAGAAACTTTGGTATATTAATTTCTTATATAATGTAAAATAATAACGTGGCAGCTATTTGAATAAAGACAGAAATTTTCATCTTGACCAAGATAAGATCCCATGACCCTTACTTATGAGTCCAGTATGCTATCACAGAGATAATATGCCTTATGGTATATTGGTATTTCGTCACATAGCTTAAATAAGACATGAAGAACATTTGTTTTGTATAGTTGGAAATTAAAATTGTCTAAGTAAGATAACTGACATTATTGTTTATGAACAATTCAGTATTTGCAAAGAATGCGTGTCTGTGTTTCAGTATGGATTACCCCTTTTCAGTCTTGTTATGTTTAGTCTCCTCACATATACATAATAACATTTTGTGTTTTGTTGGTATGTGAGGTTACAGAAGTTTAATTTTGTTTTTCTCTCCATATCATGGTAGTCTGAAAACTTGTGACATTTTTGCAGTTCATATGGCTTTTCGGTGGATCCTTGAACGTGTGGAGTTTACTAATAAGATTGAGTTACCTCCCAGTGAAGGAGTTGTAAGTAACAAATGTTCATAGTTATATTCATATACAGTAAATGAAGAATGTGTGAAGGAAAGTGTAGAAGGTTGTATTTCTGGTCCTTTTAGGGTGGATATCTAAATGCTCCTTACAAGGGTATGGCACAATGTAATATCAGTGTTTCTTACCTGGCAGTTAATATTTGTGTAGTTTAGGCTGAACACAGAAGTAGGCCATCATGATCCTACAAATTTTAATTAAATGTGAGAATGCTGTATTGAAATGTGTAAAGACAGGATACTGTGCGGGTTTCGAAATCCTCACAATAGTCTGATTATTGGGTAACATATAGCTTATTGACAAAGAAGGGCTTATATACATAGTAGTTATTGTTCATGTTTAACTTCAACTTAATTTGTTTTCTGTGGAATGAACTTTAAACAGTCTCATTATACTTTGTTTATGCTTGAATGGCTGAAAAGTGCTTATAATAGCAAGAAAATAATTTATGATAAATAGGTGTGATTTTATTTTTGTACAATAGTGTAATTATTTAACCATTATTTTCTCTGTGGCACAGATCATAGTTGTCCATGCATTGTACTAGCACATCCCAAAACTGTTAACCCTGAAGCTGAAGTCTGTCTGGCTGCCCTATATTATGGGAATTTAAATAAAGGTTAAATTGTTAGGAATAATTTTTGGAATCAGCTTTTATCAGCTGATGCCCCTGTTTCTTAAGCAGTTTGGTTTTATAGCCTTTCAGAAACCCATGGAATTGATAAGTGGGTAATACCTTAATCATATAGATGGAATTAAGTCAGGCTGGTTCATGATAGATTCCAGTTAAAGACTTCTCTGATGGTTTGAACCTTCAGGTTATAATGGTTGACATTTATTAGCAAAGGAATGTGTTTTGCCATTAAATGTTATTATTCAGAGTGTTGAACTTACACATCTCACACTATTACAAACTATTGCTCTGAAGTAATAGTCTTACAGTACTTGAAATTACATCACAGTAGTACAATTGATACCCATCTCCTGGCTATATTAAAACTGGAATCTGATTTGGCTTGCTGTTATTTAATATTCTTTGTTTCAGTATACAGTTGGCAGGGGAAAGGAAAACACTATTAAATGTCTCAGTTTGTATGTGTCCAGAAAGCACTGTAAAATTGTACAGCGAGCTGGAAGTCTTACAATTGTTGATTTGTCTGTAAGTATTTCAGTTGGTATATCTTATTTTTAAGTATTTTTTAACTGCTGCACTTATTTCACTGTTGGAAGCTAATTTTGAAGTGGATTATATATAGGTCTCATCATAGGGTGTGTTCAATAATGTATAAAAGCACAAGTGTTAACACTGCAGACAACAATAGTAACAAAAGTGGATCTGAAGTGAATTTGAAAATCTGTCCTTTTTCTTAATGTATTATGGATCACTTCAGTACCCACAGTTCTTTTCATAAGTTTTTGAGTCATCTTGTGTCTCTTTTGAAAATCAGCTTGAATTCATACATACTCAAGTATTCTTGTGTCTTATATTTCCTCCATTTGGTCTTTTTGTTTATTATGCTATCAGTTACTTTCCTGAAAGACAGTTTAGGTTATTATGGATTAAGCAATAAAGGCCATGTTTTGATGAAGAGTTCCCAAAATTATTAGATTAGATGATGAAGTAGGCCAGAATACAGGACAAATGGCTGGAGATAATATGAACATTGTAAGATTTTAAAGGATGTGTGACTATGTGAAAGATTAACTTAATAAACTTGAAAGAATTTGGGCTGTTTTCCTTGACTTTCTTTTTTTTTTTTTTCATTTTTAAAGTTAAAGATAAAAATCAGAAATATTTATATGTGGTGGCAGAATATAAAAGAGAAATGAGTGCAGAAAATGTATGGAGACTGCCATCTGAATGATTTTGTTAGAAAGGAATAGTTGACATATTTGTTAATGGGCCAGTGATTAAGGTAAAATCTAGCAATTTCATGACACATTTGAATGTACAGTACATGTAGTATTTTTAGGGCTTCCTTTGCCATATTTAAAAACGAAAGGGCTTTGGTGCACGTAAAATGATGGCTCAAGATTTCTATGCACATAATGTTGTTTTCAGTGTAAGCTGTGGAAAATAGAATAGAATCGTGTGGACATCTATTTGCCCTTACACCACAACCAACAGCCATTAATGATTTGTTTATCCTATCAGCAACCCTGAACATTTAATAAATTGCATTACTTTGCCCATTGGGACCTTCTGGTAATTACTAGAATTTGACAAATGAGCTTGCAGATGATGGTACTTGAGTCCCACATGGGACTTGAAACAGCAAATATGTGTGAGACTGTTGAACTAGAATGTTGACCCCTACTGCAAGTGGGATTGTCACCTAATCTCATTTTTCACTATTATATTATCTGGCAGTCAGCTGCTTAAAGATTGAGTTAAAAACTGATGCTTTGGATAATTGTTTTGTCTCCATCATCAGGGTTGATGTGGGGAATGAGTATGACTTGCTAGTATACACACACATACATATGTACATTCATACATACATACATACATACATACATACATACTTACATATCACTGACTCACAATTGTGCACATTTGTTTTCTTCTTTTTCTTTTTCTATAATCAAGTTATTTCTCATTTTTATTCAAAAATTGTTTATGAAACTGTTGAAAGCAATGCATATATGGCATATTATAATAAAAATATGTTTATGAATAACTGGTTTATCAACATTTCTTACAGAGTGCTAATGGTACATTTGTCAACCAAACTCGAATTCTTTCTGAGCGGGAGATTCCATTGCAAGATGGGGATCTAATTGGTGTGGGTGTTAGTGAAACAACAGACTCTGGTTGCTATGTGTTTCAACTTCATAGAGAAAATTTTAAGGTACTGTAATTTTTCAGTTAGACTTATGTTTGCAGAATTATAATTTTGTAGTCTATTTTGATTCTTCTGTCAGTATGTGGTGAAGGTGGTAATATCCAACAGAACTGTAGCTGCATTTTTATGTTTGTGTTTGTGTTAGAAAGAAGTTTGTTGACAATCAGAAGGAGCACAAACTGTTTTTGTTTATACATAACCTTAAAATTTTAGTTGTTAAATTTATCAGAATGGTTTTATGAGTCTTTGAGTTTATATGAGATGTGAAAAATATACCGCTATACCAGTTAACTTCTTTAAAATCTTCTAAACTAAATTTTCTGTTTACAGACTGTGCACCATGTGTCTGCTTTGCCAGATTCAAGTACAAGTGAAAATGAAGTGGTTATCATTGTGGATTCTGATTCAGAAAATGACCTACAGGAATGCAGGGAAGCAGAGGCAAAGGAGACCAAGAACCTGCCCACTGAGAAGAAACATGTCATCAGTTCTAAAGTTCCAAGGTTGGAAAATGCCACCATGAATCAGGAAACATCTTCTGCTTTACCAGTGACATATCCCAGTGTCTTTTTTTACAATCGAGAAAAACCAAAGAAGAGACTGTGTGATGATCCTGATGACAAGATAAAAATTAAGAGGCATGTTTATGAACAGAATTCAAGACCACCTGATGACATGTCTAACAAGAAGACTGCTCATCAAAGTGAAGTGTGTAATAGAAATTCAAAATGTGAAGTGGTTTATAAATTAGGGGAAGATATAAATACTTTCAATAGATCTGAAACCATCTTAGACACAGCTCAGGAATCAAAAATTGTTGGTGATCATTTGACTTCAGGTGCTGCGAACTCTAAGAGTGTGGAACCTGTTTTTCAGTCTTCATTCTTCCCTGAATCTTATGTTTCAGTTCAGACTGCAGTTTGTACTAAGAGAAGATTTGATAGTGAACCTCTTTCAACTACTTTTACAGACTGTAAAACTACAACACATAGGCAGACTGCAGAAGCAGAGTCAGAAATACTTAATCATTCGACAAATGATTCTCTAACATTGAATAGAACTATGGTGTTCGGAGTGACAGAACATAAAAGTGAAGAAATGGAGATTGCTCTACAGCACAGTATTAAAAACAGATTCTGGACTGAGTTATTTAATTCAAAAACAAATGAAAACAGGTGTTCCCCTGTAACCAAAACAGATGTACCCTTTCTGGATGATAACTCTCAAAGAATACCTGTAGTTTTGACTTCCAGTTTGAATAAAAATGAGAGTGAACAGAACTTCAAAATAGAACCAAGTAACAAAGAACTTGCCATCAGTGATACCAAGAATTCTTCTAGACATAATGAAAGACAAAGTCCTAAAGGTAGTAAGTCCTTGTGTTTTGATTTGAGTGAAGCAAATAAATGTGTAGGAACTGATAGTACAGTACATTCTTTTAATAATTTCACTGGTGATTCAGGATATGCTGTTGCACACTCATCCTTTACTTTGGAGTCAAATTTAAGAACTGACAGTGTCATAACTAGTGAAAGTGGAACATGCGTTTCTGAAGGTGATAATTTAATTCCTGAGGTTGCTGTAGAAAGAGAGAAAGATGGAGTTCCTTTTTCCCTTTGTGGAAAGAGCAAATCGAATAGATATTCCAGTTCTGGAATCATAAATGACAAACAGTTTCCTGCAGCCCAGGAATGTAAATCAGGAAAAAATTCTACCCAGAATAAAGAGTTGAATGAAAAAAGGAAATCATACAAGATGCAGAATATTTTATCAGAACCATATTCTGTTGAGTTTAGTCACATTGTTTCAAAATGTGAACAAGTTTCAAAGTCAGAACAGGCTGTATTTTTCATCAATAAAGAAGTAAATGATGAATCATGTAGCTATACAAACTTCAAGAAACAAAGTCCAAAATATTTAGAGACGCCTGTGAAGAAGAAACTGAAAATGAGTGAACAAAGTGTAGGTGGATCACATAAATCAGGTTCTAGCATAGTTTTAAAAGAACCTGATATTGTATCTGCTAAACAAAATGAATCTGTTGTGATATCTGTAGATAATAAAGTTAGAACAGGTAACAAGTCTCATTTGTTGGAGAATGTTCCAACCCTCAATGTTATTAATAGTCATGATTTTGAAGATGATGAAGATGCACATGATAATCTGGTATCTCTGCGGCTTCAAGAAGTTGTATATAATGATGAAAGCAAAGCTAAATCTAACCCTCCTCATGTTAAATATCAAGACAAGCATCCTAAGACCATTGGTAAAATTAAAGGAAGTTCAGGTAGTGCAAAACAGCCTGTTGTTAAGTGTGGACCTTTGCCAGCAGCATCTCTTTCGTCTGATGATGAGCAGTTAGTGGCTAAGCAGAAGAAGGGTAAACTCCAGAGGCAGCGTATTCTTTTTGACTCTTCATCATCTTCAGATGAAGTTGTTGAATTACAAGGTAAACAGAAGAAATTAGAATCAGCTGGAGAAACCAAGGGCAACAGCAACTCTCATGTTCATTTGATGAAAGGAAAAATGAAATTGTTACCCTCCTCAGATGATGATAGGGTGTTAGTTATCAAAAGCAGCCCAGAATCTCTAGATGAAGTTACGACAAGTAACGGTAAATCAGATATTTTAGTCAGAAATGGTGTGAATTCTGTAGATGAATGCAAAGAAAAAAATACTGTACAGGATAACAAACACAGAGTGGATAGTTCAAATTCTGTGGGAAAAACAATGGTTAATGAAGAATTGTTTGCCAGTATATTCAAAAGCAAAGCAATTGTGAAGCTGGAAAGGCTTGATGAAAATATATTAAAATCAAATGGACTGGTTGTTTCAGAACCTGAAAGTGAATCCTTAAATTACACACTTGATGAAGATATAATTGTTATAAGTGATGATGATGATGATTACTTCCCTTCATCACAAATATTTGATGACCAGAATATGTCTTCTTTGAAGGCACTTAAAACTGAATGCCAAGATGCAGTCAATGAAGATCCATCATTTAATAAGGATATTGAAGATGATGATGTACCGTTTGAAGATGATGACTCAGATTTAGATAATCAGTGGTTCAAGAGATTGTCACAGCAAGATCTTGAACCAACCTCAGCATTGCCTCCACAACTGCAAGCAGAGACAAAAACAAAGGACAGATTTTCAAGACAAAAGTCCTTAAAGGATGTGAATCTGCCACAAGTTGTGGTTGATGATGTAAGGATACAGGAAGAACTGTTGGCCAGTGATTTATGTAAAGCAGATGAAAAAGTGAAATTAAAACGTAGACGGTCTGTTGATAAGTGCCAAAGTAATGTTAAGGCATTTATAATTGATGCACCACCATTGCCACCACGGCGGGCTTTTCTGCGAGGAATTTCTGCAGACGAGGCAGCACGAATATACAAGGAGCAAAATGAAAGTTGCCAACAACCTGTGAAACATAGAATCAGTGATACCAGTGATAAGAGAAGAAAAAGAAAAAGAAAAGAAAAGAAAAAGGAAGATCATGTCCATTTGCCCATATCTGATGACCTAAGATTTCTCACTGCTAAAGAAAAGAAGAAAATTGCAGATAAGCGTAAAGAAAAGCTCAGAGCAATATCTGAGAAGGAGAAAGCTGTTGCAGCAGCTTCAAAGAAACATTCTGTGAAAGTTCCTGCAGAAGTAAGAATAAAGGTGACTAATAAAAACAGGGGTGCTTTCTTGACAGAGGGAGCAGAGAAAACAAATGATGTTTCAAAATTTTGTGCTACAGCTCAAACATCAGTTTTATCTTCTGTAGTAAAAGAATTGCACCGTGATGCAGAGAAGAACTCCTCCTCATTGAATGTTTCAAAACAAGATGGTGTTAGAAGTAGTACTCCGCAGCCCAGGAAGTGTGAATCGAGATTATCCTCTGCCCCAGCAAGATTCATTAAAGACCTTCCTCGAATTCCTAAAATATCTGAGCGGCTTTCGGCTTCAAAGAGTGTTGATGTAGAGGTACCTCCTGGTGCTAAAGTGGATACTATTACAGAGGATGTTCCTCCATTACTTACAAGTGGTTTTTCAAGCTCTCCTATTACAAAGACATTAGCACCTGCTAGAAGTACAAAAGGAAAAAAAAGGGTGACTTTCAAGAAAGATAGTGAACTGGTTGAGATACGTGTCATACCTGTGGCAGAAGATTCACGCCTTTTGCCTGTTGCCCACAAGAAAGATGCTCCAACTCCAAGGAATATCTTCAGTAATCAGTTACAGCAAAAGGGTCCAGATCTGGAGGAAGTTCTCTATGATATAGTGTGTTGGAATCCTAAGTGGCTAGAGGTGAGTCATAAATATATTAATTTTGCTAGAATTAGAATGGATTATGAGTGTGTAACATTATCACTTTTGTGCATTTCCTTTCAAACAAAGATTCCACCCACAGGAAGTACAGTTATTTTCATTTTCTAGTCTGTGTAAATATCCTGGCTCTTCATTTATGCTGCATGTCCTTGGGATATATGATATTTAAATTTCAACTTTACATATTTCAGCAAATCTGATCTCAGTGACCTATTTTGTAGCAGGAACTCAATTTGCTTCATTCTTTGTTGGTGAACTTCCTTGTCATACTGCTGCCAGATCTTTTGGTCACAGTATATCACACAGTAGGTGTGGAGATATTACCAGATGTTTAAAAGAATATCTCTAACCTCTAATATAAATTTTAATATAACCTGTTTAATAAAGGATCTCACCAGTGATTTTACATGTTGATTCCACTATTTATTCCGTGTGACAATGACATTGCAAAATATTTGTACAGGAACAGAGGCAGAAAACTGTTACATATCCACCTCCTGTGTATGGAGGCAAACTGTGGCCTATGCTGTCATCATTTGTCTCATATAAAGACTATTTGAAGGTTCTCACACCTCTTGTGCTTCTTGAGTTGTGGACCAATATCACCAAGGACTGTGAAAACAATCCTTATGATCCCAGGTCAGTTTAGAGTCTTCTGTTATATTTTTATTCTTTGTAAGCTGTAACCAACCTTGAAAAATTTACATTACATTAGACTGAAGTCTGTGTCTCTTTTCTTGCAGGAAGGCTCCTGTGGTAGTTGGTATAGATCAGGTTGATGCAACCCCTCATCTTACACCCAATAAGAAACAGCTTATGCATATAACTTGCCATGGTAAGACAACTTTAATAATTTATTCTGCACTAATACTTATAAACAAGTAGTTTTATTTTGGTATTTTGAAATACAGAGAAGATAAAAAAATGAGCAGTGCTTGTTATTGATGGTATAAGCTAGTAAGTTACATAGTAGGATTTTAAGTTATCACAGCAATGAGTGTGAAGATGTCTGTCTTCTGTTTTGAATTGTAGAGCCATGTTGTCTGGTAAACGTTTATCAGCATTTCAGAGGTGTTTGCTGCATCGATCATATTGCCAGATGATGGAAGTAGCAATCACCTCTGAAACATCAGTAAACTTTTGCCAGACGTCATGGCACTAGAACCCAGAAGACAGCTATCTTTGTAGTAAGTTTCATGTATAAAAACATATATATATGCAGTATTTGGAATTAAACAAGAAGAAACTTAACAAGATAACCAAAATTATATGGTAAATTTACTGTTTCATTTAACAAACAGCATACAGAAGCATTGAGCCTTATATTTGTATCCAATATTGCAAATTTTTATCTATATTTAATTCAAGTGGTTATATCTTTGTTCCAGCTCTTCTAACACAATATGACTCTCAGAACCATTTGTATCCACGTGTAGGGGACTTGGTTTACCTAGAATTGGAGTTAGAAAATGAAGTGTTACAGAACCTTTATAGTACTGAGCCTCAGCTAAATACAAAGCAACGCAGGATTGTACCCATCTTTGCATATGTCAAACATGTCAGCAAAGATGCTGTCACCAGTAGAACCAGTGTACACAGGGAAATCTGTGAGTAGTGCGTGTTTTTGACGCTTTCCCATGTATTATACAACATTCTGTATATCTGTCCATCAACTGTTATAAAGGACATATTAACTTCTCAGGGGGGAAAATAGAATTGAATGCATGAATCCTTGTTCGACAAGTCAAAAAGTATCTACAATGTAATTATTAAAATTAAAAACAAAAGAACAATATATAGCTCACAAGAACATAACTTTTAACACAGTCTCCATGCTTTTCAGCACACTATTCAAAACTGCACAACCTTCTGTGTGCCTTAAGAGGAGAATTTTTTGGTCATGTGGCTGGCCATATTTGCACTTGCCTTCTTCAGCTCGTGGCCGTTGGGAAAATGACAGTCTCTTAAAGCATTTTTGAGTGATTCAAATGAACGATTGTCTGACAGTGCAAGGTCAGGGCTGTTGATTGTTTGAATAGTGTTCATAGCAGTATATAGGAATTGGCACTGTCATGCAACAGTTTTGTTTATCAACTTTCGCACTTTCAGCATACAAGACCTTTATTGCTTCTTGTTGCACTTCTTTAGTGCATTTAGTAAGTGGGGTGGCCATGTTGATAATGCTAGTGGCACAAAACAACTGAACAGTCAACGTCAAATATGGCTGTCGTCTGGATTGTTGCACCGTGTAGTCCGGTAGAAGTTTACCAACATGGTGCCATAGTGGTAAATATAAAATTGAACAACGGGTATATATACGCATAAGATTGTCATTATAAATAAGCATTATTGTTATTTCAGTGCAATTTATTTTTGATGTAAATGGGCTAGGACCACTGACTTCTGGTAACTTCCCCTACAGCCACCGCTTTTCCAATGCTTGCTTTGACTAGCTAAGCAAGTATCAGCTTCTCGAGGAAGATTCTGCTCCATGGAGCTAGTTTTAGTCAATTAGGATATGATGTGCAGTAAATAATAAAGGAAAAGCAACATATTCTGGCACCATTACTGGCTCTTTCTCAAATATACTTGATTTCATCCTTCTCATTTTTAATTTTTGCTTTTCTTTTCTGTTTCACAGTGAAACATTGTGCAGAGCCATCAACCAAACTTACATTAATCTTATTGGCAAAATTTAGATCCTATGATGTGAAAATGAGCCATGCAATGAGAATAAAAGTAAGTGGTCAGTGCTGTACAGCCTTCAGGGCAGTACAAGACTTTAATAATCTGGAATTGATATCTTTAGATGTGGCCATGACCCTTTTCAGGGTAAAGGTTCTCACAATGGTGATGTGTGGCATACAGCTGAAGATTCCACTTGTTCATTCACATGACAGCTCTGGAAAATATGAAATCATATCCCTCCACAGATCTAAATTCACTGCGTACCAGGCCTCCAATAACTACTGCCCAGACACCCATAACCTGGCTTATATATGCTGGGCACTTTGTTATTGGGTGAGGCTTGCTGGTGGGTCCACAGGCAGATGAGACTCATATCCCTATTTATTATCAGTTAGATTAAACAATTATAAACAAAAAGGAATGATGAAGTAAACAATAAAATGTGACATGTTATGTAGTTAGATTACGAAAGTATAAAGTAACAAACAAACCATCCATATTTGGAGGCTGTTTTCTTCATCCACAAACAGAGGATATGCCAAGCTGTTGAAACAGGGATACACTTATTATTAAAGATGTATATTAACCAGTAATAAATCAGTATTGTTGATAACATGGAATGTATCGTTAATTTTAACTGTTATAATCGATATTATCTATTTAATTCAACACATTTGTTTTAAATTTAATTCTTGCTTCTGTTTGTGCAGGTGGTTTCATACATAAAGTCTGATCTTCGTTTGTTTCAAGCTATGGCATATTTGCCATCCTCACCACTTTGTAATCATATCCTGAAGCCTGCAGAACAGAATTTTGCCCTTCCTGATATTACCAACGATCAGTTTGTGCCACTGATCAAGCAAGTAAGGAAATGTTTGTGTTACACAGTCTGGTAGAGTTGTCAGCCCAAGGCAAAATCAAGATCAGAGCTAAAAGGGCAGTAATGCTAACAATAGATTCTGATGATAGCAGTAACATTATGTAGCACATTTACAATTGTAAGCTGTTGCCCTCAGTGAACTAGTGGTTAGTGTGCTCGAAACTCGGCTGAGGTTGATGGATTTTTAAGGGTGATAAAAAGCCATAGCACAACTTCCTTTGGAGGGGAATTAAAGCTGGTGGTCCCATTTTGTAGATTTACAGCATGTAAAAGAACCTTATGAGCATGATACGAAATGTTTCGTAAGCAAAATTCAGCAGCCATTTCTCACCCAAATCTCCTGTTTCACTGCTAGATGGCTCTGGCAGAAAATCAGGATTGAGTATAAATTGTGCAGAGTTAGTGGGGTCACTCACTACTCTCACTAGCACTGGAATGCCCAAACGGGTGTTGCCAAACACAGAAAATGAAATGAAATTATAAGCTGTAATAAAATGTGACCCAAATGGGATTCATTCAGTGACCATCTGCACATGTGCTGCAGCGTCTTTTATTGCTAAATAATAAGATTATACTGACAACAAGATTTATAGAATTAGTAATCTGTGCAATTAGAAAGTAGGCTATATGCGTTCTCCTTAGAACACATTACTATTATGGTGAGCTTATGCTTTTAAGTAAATAAAAATGGAAAACTGTAATAACACTGCTACAACCCAGAAGACAGCCAACTTCTTACCCGCCACTATAAGAACCTTATATTGTACAATTTGAGGTTCATTTATCATTTATTATGCTTCATCAGCATTCTAATTTTTGTCCCACTCTTTTCTGGATTTATGAATTGACAGCATCTCTCATTCTTTGCTTTATGAAGTAAAAAGATATTGCTCTGCTGCTGTGTTCTGTTTGTGGTAAAGTTCCAACTTGTCCAGAGATTGGTTATGGAAGTTTAAATGAGTGTTTTCCAGGACAATGCTTTGGAAGAGAAGGTTCAAAACTTAGGCCACTTCTGTCTCTGGACTGTACTCTGCTACATAAAACAAGTAATGTGAAGAATGAAAAGTAATAACATTCGCCATTTGAAGGGAAAATCAGGGACACAGTTGAGGCTATAATTTCGTATGTTGTGAGTTGGGTTTGGCAAGTAGAAAGTGATGATGCTGATACTGAACATAACAAAGAACACTGGTAAATGTTCTTAGTAATTCTTTCAGTTCATGTTTCATTTATTTTTTTATCACTAATTGTTTCAAAATAACTAAGTTTAAAAATTGTACCATAACTTTATAAAAACATTTACCTGTATGTAGTTTTCTTAATGACTTTTCTTCTTCTTATTTTTTTTGTTTTGCTCCAGGATCAGTTAAATGAACCACAGAAACAAGCTATCCTGCAAACTGCTCATGCTTGTTTGATGTCAAAACCAAAAATATGTATGATACAAGGACCTCCAGGCAAGTCTGTCTTTTTTATATATTAAAAAAACTTGGTTCATCTGGCTGTGTGAAGCAGCATTTTGTTTAGTGCAGTTCCAGTTTCTGCAGAATCTTTTTTGTAGAATACATGCTGTACAAAACTGAGTTAAATAGTAACAAATAATTCTTTTTCAGGTACTGGGAAATCGCATGTAATTGTAAACCTGATAATACAAATCTTATATGCCCAGAAGCAATTTCGGAAGCATGGAAGCCGTAGAGATGTTCCACGGATTCTTGTTTGTGCACCTTCTAATGCTGCCGTTGATGAGTTGGTGATTCGACTTCTGCATGTTCGTCAGACAATCCCAAGTAAGCATGATATTGCCTGAAAACCACAAAGAATCATAGCAGTTGGCAAAATGTATACATTATTACTGTACGCTTTGGCAGCCTAGTTGTTTTTTAAACATAGTGGATACATACTGAATTATTCTTATAAATAAACCTTATCTGCTTGCTTCATTAACTTAATCTTATCTTTCCATGTGTGTGTGGATTGATCTGGTAGACTTTTTTTTTAAATTTCCCAAAATGGAGTAAGTTCATGTAAATGAACAAAGCACTGTTAGAAGTGTAGTAAGTGAAGTATCCAGTAAATTATTACCTGTGGGTGGTTGCACCATCTTATTGAAAGAATATGTATTCCTCTTCTTCATTACATAGGTTTGAATTAGTGGTGTGAGATTCTGTCTGATGTATGTTTCTGAAGAAAAGAAGGGTTCAATAATACTGTTGCTCTGATAGAACATCATGCATGAACTTAATATCATGTAAACATGCCTCATAATTAGTCTAGGAATTTCTGATGCCCATTATGTTATTTTAGATATTTAAATGCCTACCCATATGAAACCATGCTCTGTTCATTCAAGAAATCAGCTAATAGTGAATCGACTTCACCAACACACCCAGCTTTACAAAGCAAGTTACAAAATTGTGCTGTTTTAACAGAGTCTACAATATTAAGTTTTTGCTTTGTAAATTTGAATGGCTTCAAATGGAGTAACCTTATAACTATGTGTGCAAATAACTGTGATACAGTAGTTTGTCAAGGTAACAATTTTAAAATAATTTCATGAAGATGCTTCTGAATGAGCTCCAGTGTTATGTAATGCAGCAGTTCTGAATCAGGGGTAGTTGAAGCTTCATCAGAAGTATGTGAAATATATTTCATATATTATCAAAGAGCTTAAAAAGTCTTCTCATTTTATAATATGCTATTATATCTTCAGTAACAAAAAATAATTTCTGTTACACAGTTGTTACAAAGTGAGACTGTCTGCATCTTAGTTGTGGCACTTATCAGAAAGTGAGAGCAACCTGATGTATTATCCTTCTGATGTCTCATATGAAAGATGTGTGAATTTTTTTATTTCAGTTGACAGCTGCATTATAATGTTGAGAGATGTTATATATTGCATGTGTGTATCTGCATTATGATTGTGAAAGTGTCAACATCTGCCCTCAGTCTTGTTAAACAAGGTTAAGATATGACTAAATACCTAAAAGTTCAATAACTTTGACGTTGCTAAAATAATATTCACACACAAAATTTCACATTATTGAAATTTACTTTCTGATTTTTCTTCTTTGTTGTGCCTTTTGTCCATTCATTTTCAAATACTGTGTCATGGCCATATGACTGTTTATTACAGAATTCCATTATATAAGCACATGCATTAGATAACCTCGTCTGTCATGCCCTCTTGTAATTTTATAATTGTTATGGGGTTTTTAATGTGATCAACAGAGAAACATTTGCTTTTTCATTTTGCTTTTTGTTCCATTTGTTTCAGATTTGTGATTATTCCTTAATTTTAAATGTGACTACTTTTCTTAATTATATTCCTGTGCCATGCATGAAGTAAGTCATATAATTATAATGCCTTTACATAATGTACTATAGTCACTCTTTAAGTTGTGAAACATTGAGGCAGTAATTGTTCTTTCTTTAATATCTGTCCTTTGAATACTTAACATGCTTCTAAACATTACAAATGGTCAGGAGAGGAGAGGTTCAGGATGGTGCGCAGTGGTCGACAAGAGACAATGAACCAATTAGTGAAAGACATCTCAGTCATTGAGTTGGCCAAGAGGGATGCTAGGAACACCGCACAAGTTTTGGAATGTGTGGAGAGTCTAGATTTAGAGGTATGTTGAGCTACATAACCTTCATCATGTAAGGAATGTGTCTAAAGATGGCTGTCCTCTGAGTCGCTGCGCCATGTAGTTTGGTAGAAGTTTACCAACGTTTCAGAGGTCAGAGAAATAGAAAAGATTCTGTAATGTAACATTCTCTTGTGTTTAATGTTAATGTTTGTCAAAGTACCATGCCTTTTTAGACAAAATTTTGTTTGTAACTAGCTTTTGGTTTGTTTATAAGTGAACAAAACTTACTTGTCTAGTCTTTCAGAATTAAGGTCGGCACTTTTGGATGAATATAAAAAACAGTTTCTTAAAAATTTTAAGGGATACATCCTGTTGTGTGTTCAGAGCATTTCAAAAGAGAATGATTTTTATTGTTTTCTGATTGAGTGTCTTGTTCCAGATACGCAATCTTGAGGCTCGAAAGAATTCATTGGTAATGGCCCTTGAAACAGCAAGGCAAAAGAATCTGACTGATACTATTGCTGAAACTGAGTTTAAACTAGGAGAAACTGAGCTGAAGCTTTTTCAAATGAAAAAAAGCAAAACCCAGGTAATTAGAGATTGCTGTTAATTTATTCATATTAGTAATATTGTTTTCACATATTGACTTCAATATAGTATATATATGTGTGTGTGTGTGTATGCTAATAAGCAGTTTGTGTTGTTGGCACTGTAGTGTGTGTGTATAACAGGTAACTGGATATTTCTAATATATATTTCATAGTTTTTCCCCAAGTCTTCATATTGACATCATAATCAGGGATGAACAGACTGGTTCACAAGCTGAGACAGAATTTTCTGTTGTAAGGAATTTTTACTAATGAAACTCACACATCTGTTAAACCCATTTAAATCTTTAGTTTCACTAAGAAAATAGTTGGATTTTTGGCCTGTGGAATGAGTTCTTTAAGAAGCTTGCAACCAAGAAAGTCTTGTCAATTATGTACTTAATTAGACTCTTATTTATTACCATTCTTCCCAACTGAACAGCTTAATTTAACTGTGTATAATAACCCTTGATTTAATTGATTTTGGATTTAATGGACATTGTCTGGTACTGCCAAATTATTTCTGGATGCAAGGCATTAGCAGACTTTTCTGTTTTAATAGACTTTATTCTGTAAAATCATCAAAACCAAAATGTCCGCTAATGACCTGTGGATTTTTTGTGCCTTATTGTCTGTTTTAATGAACCTTGTGTCATTGTAGGTGACCAGTTCATATTACTAATCTGCTAAGTGGTGTTCCTAATGGAAATTAAGGTTGCATTACTGGCATCATAAAAACAGTTGTGCAGTTTAATGAACAATTGGCATTACCAGATGCCCCTTTCCCCCTGTTAGTCCATTAAATCAAGAATTTACTGTAATGCTTTTTGGCCCATAGGTGATCAAAACTAAGTTTTGAACAATATTAATTAGCATTTGATGTTATTTATTCATGTGTATAATAGATTATCAACATAAACTTGGTAGATAAAATATAAATATAAAGCCACAAAATAGATTCATTATTACCTCTATAAATACCATTTCAGAATACTACATTGGATCCTCGAGAACTCTGGCGTATAGAAAGAGAAGCACAGTCACGAATACTTCTTGGTGCTGACATTGTGGCTACAACACTATCATCTTGTTTCAATAACCAGATGGAAACTATTTTTTCTACTCAGAAAAAGTAAGGTTTTATGTGTTACTGAAAAGTAATTATCAAGGATGTGTAAAAATTACAGTATGTTCTCATTATCTCTTGAATCAGTTTTTGGAGTAGATATTTGCAACTTATAGATGAATTTAATTTATTTTGGGTCAGTTCATTTTGAGTCAGATTAGCCTGTTGCCTGACACATTATTTTGAGTCATATTATACCAGGTTTGTCAAATTCGATGTCTATTAAGGGGCCACTTGAAAAAGAGATGACTGATCCAGGTGTCATCACATAATCACTTACTTTTCCTAATTCCAAGCTTAAGTTTAAGATCAATTTTTTGTTTCTTTATTTTCCCTCAAACACACAAATGTGAATTTCATTGAAACACATCTCCACTGTATTTAATTTAAATATAAAACAGTGGTAGCTATTTAACATGTGGTTTATAATTTAATTTTCTTATATAGCAGCAAGGATAGATCTGGTTTTCAGTTTACCTGCTGCATAGTAGATGAAGCAACACAAAGCCAGGAATTAGAAACACTGATACCACTCATGCTCGGGGTGACAACACTTGTCCTTGTTGGTGATGCAAAACAGCTGCCTGCTACTGTACTGTCTAAGGTATGATAGAGTCCTTGAAGCCATTTCTTTGTTTGCATTATACATATGTCTTTCCACAAAACATATCATATTCTTGAATATTTAGGGTTTTCCATTATCTGCATATGTGGCAGAACCTAGTGAGGTACAGCAAATGAGTAGTCCTTCTTGAGAAACTTTTTCCAATGAACATGATCAGTCTTAAAGGTATGTTGCCTTGTAACAGAGTAAATGGTGTTCCTAACATTCTAACATGTTTTTCATATGAAGGTAATGAAATCAACACTAGTGGAGAGGTTGTGTCTGTCTGTCTACATGCTTAATCTCTTAAAGAAATTCTATAATAAGCTTTGTTTCATAGATAGTCTAACATAAATATGCAATGAATGTAGTGAAAACATGTGAATTTTATATTAGTGTTGGGCTGTATAGATATCCCACTGAAGAGGATTTCAGATTGAATATTGTAGCATTTTTAGAAACTTGATACATAACATGAAGTATAAGTACATTAAGATATAGAAGTTTTATTTGAAACATTCATTGATATTGTGAATATTTAATGAAATACAAGGAAAAATATATTCTTTAATTAACTCTGCAATAGTATATCTGTATCTACTAAAAAATGAACACCAAGGTTAATAAGGTACTTACTCAACATAGCAAAAGATACTGTTCCTTTCTAGCTTTCACTCTGTGTTAACACTTTTGCATTTTACACATTACAGATGGCCAAAGAAAATGGCCTTGGGAAGTCCTTGTTTGCAAGATTACAAACATGTTTTGAAGACACTGTGAAGAATCCAGTACAGTTCCTTAGGATTCAGTACCGCATGCATCCAGACATCTGTCTGTGGCCCAACAGGTTCTTCTACAATGGCCGTTTGATCTCAGCACCGAACCTGGCTCAGCAGAGAGTCTGTCCACTCGTCCCATATTGCATTCTTAGCCTTGACTACAAACAGGATGATAGTGGGTAAGCTGAAAATACCGTAATGCCTTTCAGGCTTGAGCTGTATTGCTTTTCGACTGGTATCTAGCATTTCAGTATTTGGGCCTATTCTGATGTCTTCTGTCTGATTTACATTCATTGGTAGGTTTGCAGAATGCATTCTTCAAACAATTCTATCAACACTTAAAAATTTGTGTTATTGGAATGTTTGGATTGGTCGAGGGGGAGAGGTCAGACTAAGACAGGTACCCTGGTCCTCCAGATTGGGAGTTGGTCGCAAGGCTAACAACCTTGCACCGTAAAAAATAAGATGTTTCGAAACCTCAATCAAAGCCTCGGACAGACGGACCGAATGGAAGAGGAGAATTGAGGAGGCCATGGACCGAATACGGACCGGAGAGCCATAGAAGAAGAACAGGAGGCTTAATTGTTGCTTACCTGTGTTTGCATATATATATATTCAAAGATTATTGGTGTGTGCTGCTCTGTTCTGTTTCCCATCCTGGGTTCTGTAAAGTGTGTCTTTGTCTTGCATGTATATATATCATACACCTTTACATTCTTGTTTTGTGTTCAATTCAGGCAAAGAGTGAGTATTGTAAATGTTATCTGGAATACACCTATTGAGAGCCTCTCTTTGCTATAAAGTGCTTTTATTCTTTATCTTTGTGTCAGGGAACTCTCAAATGAAGGAGAAGCTGAGCTTGTGAGTCAACTAACATTAGGCCTGCTGGAGAAACTGAACAACCAACAGCTAAGCATTGGAATTATCACACCATACAATAAGCAGCGGACTATGATACAGTCCATCTTGCGTGATAGGTAAGATACTGATTGCTCATTTGTACAAGACCTGTGCGGAGTAATGAGGAAGTAACAAGTTACATAGCCTGTACAAGGGTTTAGATTTCTTGTAATTTTTATTTTTCGTTTCTTGTGTGGTGATGGTCAGGGTCCTTTGAATAGTAATCAGACATTCTAATTACCACTGCATTCTAATCTAACATATAAACCAGGGCATTTTCCCCATTATGTGTTTCATTTCTGCTCTTTGTGTAGATAGTGCATATAAATTATAGTTTTATAACAGGTGGTGACCTCAGAACAGGAATAGAAACTTTTGAAACACTATTTTCTTAAATATAGCTCAGGTAATGAAAAATGAATGACATAATCATGACCACTTACTGTTACCAGACAGATTCTTAATGTATGTTTTGAGGTTTTCACAGCGGTGAGTCTGAAGATTTCTGTCTTCTCGGTTGTTGCGCTGTGTAGTCTGGTAGAGGTTTACCAACGTTTCAGAGATCATACTGCCTCCGTCATCAGGGCGATGAATGTTCATCACAGCGCAACAACCCAGAAGACAGAAATCTTCAGTTTCTTAATGAATGAAACATAAGATTTAAGTTATCATAAGGTTGGATTCTTTGTCTTACTATATCTGTAAAACATAGAAAACCAGGAATTTTAAAATAAATTCTACAGGATTGGTATTTTAAACTAAACTTAAAGAATTGGCACTTACCATTTAATTGTGTGTGATTTACAGAATTGTCTGAAAACTTGACCTTCTTAAGTTTGTGCAAAGTTTCTTTTTGTTACAGTTCCTGTTCCTGCCAGAATTTGGAAGTTAATACAATAGACAGCTTCCAAGGTCAGGAAAGAGATGTTATTATAATGTCATGTGTGAGGACAGGAGGCATAGGATTCTTAGCAGATACTCAGCGTCTTAATGTTGCTCTGACTCGAGCTCGGCGTTCTTTGCTGCTGTGTGGTAACTTTACCTCCCTGCGGGTAGGTTTGTGAAATGGGTACCATGCACAGGAGTACACACATCACATGTCTTCTTTGTGTATGACGTATCCTCAGAATTATACTCTACTGTTTCTTTTCACATTTCGTAATTGAGTAAAGAAAAATACAGTCTGTCGTATAATTAGAGGGCAGGAAGCTGTGAGACATAGTGTGCTACACTTACCAGTAATGATTCATTTCATTACCTTACATATTAGGCATACTGCACATGTTTGCATGGTGCAAGAAACTTACTTCGTTACAGCCTTTAGAAGTGTTGGCACATTTTATTTAGTTGTATGTATGAGTTATTTGAGATCCTGCTTCCTGTCTTCTGTTGTAGTGCAGAATTAGAGTACAAAAGATCATAGCTTGTCGGCATTGTTCACAGACAATGGTTTTATGTTTTGTGTCAGTATTGAAATTCAACATAACTGATTTGTAGGTCACACAGATACTTGCCAAACATAACTTTTAGCTCTCATGTATGAATATTTGCTTTTAATTATTATATTAGAACTCACTTAACAGTCTTTGGTTTAAAACCACATTCTTTCAAAAGTGGTCTTAAAGCAATTTTGTACTCCAGTTTTAAAATTCAGTATTCCAAAAATGTGCACATTTGTTGTAAGATGATGCTTTCATTATTTACAAAATTTTTGTCACAAAACAAGAAAGGAAGAGACCTCTTGGATGATCAAAATGTATATGTAAAATGTAAATGTATATATATACAGATTTTAGGTAAACGGTGTATGAGGGTATGGAAGTCTGCCATGAACTGTTTTGTTATTGATTTGTGTGGGGGTGGGGGGGGATATGATGCCAATCACAATGACCACATGGTCTAGAGCATGGGTCTTGCCTGCTTGTATACTGTAAAATTGGGTTTGAATCCCACTTGAGGTATGGATGTTTGTCCTTGTCTTTCTGTGTGGTTCTGTGTTGTGTAGGTAGATAACTGCTGAAGAAACATTTTCAGAAGATCCCATAAGGAGGCATTCTAGGTTCTCCAAGAACTGTAGAGCTATGGGGAAAGAAAGGAAGGTGCCTGAAGACAATTAGACATTTATTTTGTGCAAAAACCTGGTACAGTGAGACAGACGTGTTTAATTTTAAACATTTTAAGAACAGTAACAGTTAGACAGCAGATTGCCCTTTGAAAATAATGCCATTAATGTAATGTATGTTTAATTCCAGAATGACAACATGTGGCGTGCTCTTCTAGAAAATGCCAGCCAGCGAAATTTTCTCAAACATGTTTCAAGCAGTGTAGCCAAAAACAAGGATGAACTGTTGAAGCTGGTCCTAAGAGACAAGTAATGCAACCATTTAGATGGTATTGACTCTGAATAGGTGGATTAAATTGTCATGTTGTGTGTGATAATTTATTATCATCTGCCATTGTTTTTATACATATATCATATATTTTCCAAATGCGTATTATGTTGAGGAGAACAGGGCTGTAGTTAAGCGGAAAAGCATCTTAAGCCCTGGCTGTTTTTGAATTGTTATTTCCCTCTCTGTTTTTGTTTATTATAAATTTCATAATAAACTTTGTGTGGGCACCTCAGTGAAATTTATCCATATATGCAAAGTACATCCAGAGAATTTTTTTTTTTAATGTATGATGTCTTGTGTAGAACTGGATGTCATCTGTCGAAAATATAATTTCAAAATAATATTAAAAATCTGCACCACTGAGAGAGAATTTCTTTTAGTGAAAGAATTCTGTATTAAAAAAAATTCAGTTTATGTGTCTTTCACTTTATATTCATCTGAATTGCAAGAAATATATTTTTTGTGTGTATGAGCATAGCCTTCATTTCAATTTAAAAAATTATAACAAGCACATGGACCATATTCCTTGGTGAATTGGACTTTTTGTATAACTTTTTTACAAGTCAGTTTTCAGCTATGCTTTAGTGCTGATTTTTTATCTTCTGAACTTAATGAACATGTCTTTAACCTTTACTGATCATGGGCCATTAAAATCCAGCTGGCAGCCCAATAGTATGAGGATTTAAAGCACATATTCCCTGCTTGATAATGGTTAACCAATGAAATTATTGTAATGCAGGTTGTATAATAGTAGATTATTTTCTCTTTTTGTTTTAGAAATCACTGGAGATCTCCACAGTGTAAAATATAAAAATTCCAAGAAATTTGTGTTTTATAAAATTAAAAATTAAGGTGCTTTAATTTATATTCATCCTTCAGTTCTGTAACTCTTCCATAACTTGATAATGTTCTGTGCCATAATTTGCTTTTATATGTTTATGATTTATTATTCAATCAATACATCATGTATTAAAAAGATGTTTGTTAACATATAAAACAATGACAGTGCACCTACCTGTTATTGGGGAGATACGTGTTTTGTCTAAGGTAATCTTACCTTTTTTTTAATACATTACGTGTTGAATTTTGTAGTTTTCTTTTGTTAATTTACTGACAGTTTTGAGAGAAAACCCTTGAAAACATAATGAGATTCAGTAGTTCTGCACCAAACCGTGTGGTGTAATTTTAGCCACTCTTGTTTGCATTTTTAACAAAGTACCTGGTTATTAAGGTCTTCCATGTTTTGTTTTTTCAGTTGTTTCAGGTAAGTGCCAAGAAAATACCTTTAGCAGTAAAAATCCATTAACCTCATATCTCCTTGATATACAGAATGGTGGTGTTAACATATAAAACATAACATAAATATTTTGATGAATACCAGCATAAATTTAAATTGCTTTTTAAGAATTAATTTAGAAAGATACCAGTCCCTGGATAAGTTGCAGACATTTGTGCCTTACTGCTCTTTCTCTTGGGGCATACATATATACAGCCGATTTCTGATTGTCCAACCTAAATAGGACTGAAGGACAATCAGATAATTGAAGATGTTGGATAATATGGAAGAATCTTTTGGTGTGTTCACAATGAAGAGCTCCAAAAATGTGCTTATAATAAAAAAATTAAACACCGCCAGCTGATTACCAGGTGAATATTCTGGGTTAAGTGAACTGGAAGAAAGTGCACCTTTGTGTGTAGTATTAAAATAGATTTGTGTGGCCCTTGCCAGAACATCATTCCACATGGTATGGAGAATGAAGTGTACTTCGTTGTTAATTGTGCAAAATGGTTTTAATATCTTGTCATAAAGTTATTTGAATACTTAAATAAGCCGTTGAAATTTATTATTATTTTAAGGCCCTTTTTAATACTTCATGGAATTGTGCTGAGCTTAGGTACAGCAGTAATAATTTGTAAACGGTGACGTGCACACCATGATACTCGGGCCGTAAGTTGGAATAAGTCGTGTTGGTCACTGAACACACAATAGTCAAATGGAAAGCAAAATGGCAAACAATAGTACCCACGTTACAGAGACAACTGATCACACCTGTATGGTAATTCAACGTGAGAAGTAAAGCCCTTAAATTATCAAACCAGTGCTCTGCGGTCCCTACCAACGTTAAAGATAAAAGTAGCTTCGGTAGCCAGCACATATTAATACCACAACCCAGTTTCACGTAACATTTGTCTTAATTTCTATCCTCCTTGGGTTTCTCTACGTATTTCTTTGCTGGTTGAGGAGTGAGGTAGTTACGTTGGTTAAAAGTATTTGAAGAAATGGCTTCGAATGCAGCAAAAGTTCCGATTTTTCGTGCCGTTACAGTAAGTTATTTTGTTTAGCAGGCCTATTGGTATTACGTATAAATAAATATTGCTGATACCGTTTCAGGAAAAAATTATAGTCATTCTTTGCTAGGGGCCGAAAAAGTCGGAATTTTAGATATTAATTCTGAAGTTATCAATTTTTTGTATTACGATTTCTAGATTATTATGTTTTATTACGTTGCTGCCCAATTATATTTCGGTGTTGTACTAACATTACTGTACTCGGAAGTTTTGGATCGGGTCGAAGTTCAATCCATTTTTAGCACTTCATGAAACGATGTACAGACATTGGATGCCAGACTTTTTTTATATTTGGAGAACATGTTAACTTCCAATATATCAGTATTTGCATGATACATTCAGCATTCATATTTTCAGCAGCAGACTGTAGATGTTTGTAGTGAGTTTTAAATGTAGCACTTCTAGAATGAGTTACCATATTTTTTGTTTCTTGCTTGAAGAAAATAGCATTTCATTGCAATACATTATTTGTAGGAGGAGTGGTGAGATATAAATTGTTTTCAAGAAAGAATTATGTGATTAAAATGTAATAATTGTATAATGGGTTCTGTACATTTTGTACAAAACATATAGGTTCCTCCCACCAGTTCCCACCATAGGCATGTAATATGAAAGAAACATTATACTGACATCCAATCGCAGCTGTTAAATGATATGTTCCTCCAACTCTAGACCTCAAAAATAAAACACTTCTTGAATGTTTGGTCACATCTAGATCAGTAAAGTTTCTGTCCTCTGTTATCATTGAATTTTCTCAACATGAGTACTTATCAGGGCACCATTATCTGGAATATTTCAAAGTATTCTATTAAAAAATGAACCAATATGACCTATAAAATCTGTAATGAATATATGTCATAAACATTTGGTAGTATCTTGAAATTGTTTCCATCAATTCTAACATTGCTGTATTTATTTTAAACTCAAATGCAGAATAATAGAATGTTAGCAGGGAATAATAGTGAATATCAGAAGAAATGCACGGGTATTTATTTATATTTTAAAGATTATTTGAAATGTGTAAATTTCTAAAAACAATATATTTGTTGAACTTACCATTTTCATTTTTAGAAATGTGGTTTTTCTACACAAACAGCAGTGAAAGCAAGTCAAAATTTATCACGCAGAACTGAAGTGAAAACAGCAGTGCTAGCAAATAAGCTGGTGATAGCATCTGTAGACAATAATTCACCCATTTCTACAGTCACCGTGCTTTTCAGGTAAGTCACTATAGTGTATTGATTTTCTCCCAATAAATAAAGCTTCGGGTGAGATACCATGTCATTTTACATTTTTGTGATATGTGTAACTAGTATGGGTTAGATTTTATGTCTTAAACCTTGTTACTTCAGTATTTAAAGTAAGATTGCATTTGAATTGTTGAGCCTCAAGTTCATAATATAACCATCATAACAGGAATTTTATAGCTTAAATAAATTCATCTTTGCCCCTGAAAGTACTTTAATCATTTCTGTTTTATTAACCCTCTTATATTTTTGCCATTCACATGTTATGCATACTTAAATATGGCTGCTCTAGTAACAGTCATAGCCATACTTCATGCTAACCCATTTCGTGTATTCCTCCATAAGCATTTGCTTTGGTGCTTAAAATTATAACCATCTCTATAATTTTTTGCAGTAGAATATTAGATTTCTTGAATCCTGATGAATAGACTGTAGAAGATTAACATAATTCACTTTTTAGGGCTGGATCCCGTTATGAGCAGCATGACTCTTTGGGAAATACGCATATACTGCGAATTGCAGCAGGACTTACCACAAAGGACTCCACACAGTTTGGCATAATTCGTAACCTGCAGCAAATTGGAGCAAGCCTAAGTTGTCAAACTGACCGAGAGACAATTGCTTATACTCTTCATAGCACCAGTGACAATCTGTAAGTTATTTTGGTGATATTCTGACTGTTTTTATTGTGTTTGACATTGTTTGTTTTGAGATGAAATAATATCATATTTATTCATATAATTTATACATTTTTGTGTTTAAACTCAAAACAAGCTTGTGTACACATCAAATTAACTGACTAGCTATTGTCATTAATCTGTGTTTATACTTTTCCTTCCTGAAGTGGAACATTTTAATTCCTTTGGTACATCATAAACTGTAACTTTCTTCCAATAATTTAAGAAATTGCATGAGTTCATATTACATAAATATGAAAATGGAAATGTATATTTGTACAAAACCAGGTACAGGATTCATATAATTTAGTATAAATACTGGTGCTGGCATCAGTTGTGTTTTACCCTAGCTCCAGAAAGTGCTCTTTCTTGTCTCTCTTGTACATTTTGCAAAAAAAAAAATTATATACAATGCAATATTATTTACATTAGAAGTGTCTTGTTTTTGTTAATTTGATCAGGGAAACTGGATTGAAGTTTCTTGGCGATGTTGCTTCTAAGCAAGTATTCAAGCCATGGGAATTATCTGATAACATTCCACGCCTGAAGTATGAGCTGGCTAGTCTTTCACCATATGCACAGTTATTGGATTTACTGCATAGAGCAGCCTACAGAACAGGGCTTGGCAATTCACTCTTTTGCCCTGACTACCTTGTAGGTAGTCATAGCACAGAATCAGTGAGTAAATGTCTTATAGTTACATTCTTTTAGGAAATCATGAAAAGTAATCCACAGCAAAGCAGTGAAAATCCTTTTTAATATTATCCTCCCTTATGTGCCTAGATTTCCCAAGTGATATCTACCCATCATGTTTTTTCTGACTAAAATTTTATATGCATTTCTCATATTCCCCATGAATCCTTTTTGTCCTGCTGATATAATTATAGATTTATAATCCTAGTCATATTTTGTGATGGTTATAAATTATTCAACTTTTTGTTAGATAACTTTCTGTCTCTGTGATCAATTTGTACCCCACAACACCCTAAATCTATGTTAAGCCACCAACAGGACTCTGGCTGCTGAAATATAAGAAGCTGTTTGTTTTTTTACCATGTAAGATCTTGCCTTGCAGCTGCAGCATTATGTTAAAAATCTTTTCACGACAAACCATGCTGCTGTGGTTGGTGTGGGTGTGGACCATGGTGATCTGCTTTGCTTTGCACAAAACCTTGCACTGGAGAGTGGTGCTGGTCAAGTTGAATCTGCATCCAGGTACAGCGGAGGAGATGTAAGACGAGATACGGCAGAAAGCCTTGCTCATGTGGCTGTTGCTGTGGAAGGCACAAGGTAATATTTTCATCTGTTACAGTTGTTCTTTTTAACACCATATGTTATCTCATTTCATCAATCTGGTTGATGTTTCCCTCCAATCTTTCCTATTATCAAAAATCCTGGCACTTTTAAGTTTCATTAGGTAGCATAGTTGTGATTGGAATAGAAGTGTCTTGTTTTTGTTAATTTGATCAGGGAAACTGGATTGAAGTTTCTTGGCGATGTTGCTTCTAAGCAAGTATTCAAGCCATGGGAATTATCTGATAACATTCCACGCCTGAAGTATGAGCTGGCTAGTCTTTCACCATATGCACAGTTATTGGATTTACTGCATAGAGCAGCCTACAGAACAGGGCTTGGCAATTCACTCTTTTGCCCTGACTACCTTGTAGGTAGTCATAGCACAGAATCAGTGAGTAAATGTCTTATAGTTACATTCTTTTAGGAAATCATGAAAAGTAATCCACAGCAAAGCAGTGAAAATCCTTTTTAATATTATCCTCCCTTATGTGCCTAGATTTCCCAAGTGATATCTACCCATCATGTTTTTTCTGACTAAAATTTTATATGCATTTCTCATATTCCCCATGAATCCTTTTTGTCCTGCTGATATAATTATAGATTTATAATCCTAGTCATATTTTGTGATGGTTATAAATTATTCAACTTTTTGTTAGATAACTTTCTGTCTCTGTGATCAATTTGTACCCCACAACACCCTAAATCTATGTTAAGCCACCAACAGGACCCTGTCTGCTGAAATATAAGAAGCTGTTTGTTTTTTTACCATGTAAGATCTTGCCTTGCTCTGGCTGCTGAAATATAAGAAGCTGTTTGTATTTTTTACCATGTAAGATCTTGCCTTGCAGCTGCAGCATTATGTTAAAAATCTTTTCACGACAAACCATGCTGCTGTGGTTGGTGTGGGTGTGGACCATGGTGATCTGCTTTGCTTTGCACAAAACCTTGCACTGGAGAGTGGTGCTGGTCAAGTTGAATCTGCATCCAGGTACAGCGGAGGAGATGTAAGACGAGATACGGCAGAAAGCCTTGCTCATGTGGCTGTTGCTGTGGAAGGCACAAGGTAATATTTTCATCTGTTACAGTTGTTCTTTTTAACACCATATGTTATCTCATTTCATCAATCTGGTTGATGTTTCCCTCCAATCTTTCCTATTATCAAAAATCCTGGCACTTTTAAGTTTCATTAGGTAGCATAGTTGTGATTGGAAGATGACTATCAGTTTTTGTAACCACCTCGTAAATTTATGGCAGATGTAAATATTATAAACCTTTCTTTGTTTATACCCAGCTGTTTTTCTTTCATTCTGTAATGGATTTGATGTGGTTGCTTCATTGACCAGATACAACAAAGAATAGTGTTATATGATCCAGTTTTTGTGGTAGGAGGGTTGAAACTGGTGAAATCTAGTATGACAGTGTGGATCAAAGGAAAGTTTACATACAAGTGGTGTTGATGTCATCATGGAGGATTTCTGATGTTTGTGCTGCTGGCTTATTTGCATCCCAGTAATTTCTACGTGTAGAAATGTATGCATCTCTTCATGAAAAGTTTGTGTTACTGTTGTCCAATTTAAACCAAAGTGAAATGTGTTGACAGATTTTAGTAAACCTTCCAAATGTAAAATTTCATGGAAATCTTTTATTGTTATTGCCTAAAAAGACTGTAAAAAAGAAGCATTACAGGTAACTCCTGTGGTTTGTGCTCTTATAATATCCAAAAGTATAAACATGGTAGTTCAGAATTATCTCTGCTTACACATGAATAGAATTTACAGACTTTGAAAATGTGTATTTGCTGTTACCACAAACAGTTTGGTATCATTTGTTTCTTCTGTAAATACATTTACATTGATCTTTCCTTGATTAAAGAACCTGTATCTTTACTCCAATCATTTATATATACCTACAGGTCACTGTGGAACGTTACTGAATATGTTTGTAAATTAGTGTATTTTTAATGTCAGTTGTCCATTGAAACTGAGGGTAATACATTTATTGCAGCCTGAAGAACACAAAAGAAGCTCTTGCTTTTGCAGTACTGCAGTATGCTTTGGGTGTGGGTTCATATGCTAAGTGGGGTTCAAGTGCCTCCCCTCTAACCCGCGCTGTAGGTTCAGCTGTTGGAAGTGATCCATTTGCTGTGACAGCATTTAATGCCAGCTACACAGATTCTGGACTCTTTGGTTTTGTATCTTCTAGTCCAGGAAATGTTGCCAGACAGGTAAGATTTTCTAATACTATTTTGTCATGTCTTCTTCTTCTTCTTCTATGGCTCTCTGGTTCGTATTCAGTCCATGGCCTCCTCAATTCTCCTCTTCCATTAGGTCCGTCTGTCCAAGGCTTTGATTGAGGTTTCAAAACATCTTCCTTTTTACGGTGCAAGGTTGTTAGCCTTGCGACCAACCCCCAACCTGGAGGACCAGGGTACCTGTCTTAGTCTGACCTCTCCCCCTCGACCAATCTGGCTAGGGAGGCCCTACCAGTAGCTATGCTACCGCCAGCATAGCTCTTGGGGTCACTGAGGTACTCAAGCCCCACCACCATGACAAGGTGCAGGTACCATTTGTCATGTCACTTCAGAATATTCTTGGATTTCTTCTGTTCCTGTGTTAGAAGTATCTAGTTGACTCTTTTTACTTCTGGAAACATGAAATACACGAGAAACTTGAAAAGTCTACCTGTGTCAGATGTTGACCTATGTGACTATGTAATACAAGTGGTATTATGGCATGGTACATTTGGTAAAAAGAATTAGCGATGCTATTGGGTCTGAACTCCAGATGTTGTCGCTTGAAAGTGATTGGAATACAAATAAGATGTTTGCACTATCACTGCAGAAAAATTGTCATCAGTCTTTCTTTATTCCATGTTTTATTCATGTTTCTTACATTAAGCCTGAAATCACAGCATAGCTGTAATGTGTATACATTGCAGAAACTGTTGAAAATACATAGAATCTTTTAGCAACATTATATGCCACAAAGTACATTTAGATGCTGCATTGAGTATATCAGTAACTTCCTCAATTGTTGTGAGAGGATGTTTCATGTTTTCATGATTTTATGTATTATTTACAGGTAGTGGAAGCTGCAGTGAAACAACTGCGAAGTGGCAGTCTGCCTTCTGCTGATATAGCACGTGGCAAGGCTCAGCTTAAAGCAGCCATTTTGTTTAACCAGGAAAGTAACTCTACACTAGCAGAAGACATTGGAACACAGGCTGTGCTGCTTGGCAGTGTTCTTTCTGGTCCTGCTGCTGTTTCTGCTGTGAACAGTATTACGGATGCTGAAGTTAATGCTGTGAGTTAAATTTTTATACATTAGTCTTTTGTAGACTTGTCAAATGGTAGGTTACCTAGTACTATTACATTATTAACATCAAGGAGGATACAGTGAACTTCGCATGTGGTTAGGATGGGGGTAGTAGGAAAGAATGTGAAAACCTCTTAGAAGACTACGGAGGAGGTGAGAGGATAATATTAAGATGGGTCATGGGAGAGAGAGTTTTTGGGGATGAGAGGGTGGAGTATGAATTGAATCTGTTACATTTCATAATTTGTGTGTACCTGTTTTCAGTAAGTAAGAATAATTCAGTTGTTGTATCAGGAAGGTTGAAGTACAATCAGCTATTTATAGAAGATAGAATAAATGTAATTATTTCAAAATTTTATTAAAAAATAAGCAATTTAATAACTTTGTTTTGGTCAGTGGGGGCACATATACGTGTAAGATTGTCATAGTGTCAGTAAATAAGTAATTCTTTATTTTAGTAGTTTATTTTAAATTAGGGAGGTTTTCACTGTTGTGTGTCTTAATTCTGTATCTGTTCTTTTTGGTAATGATAAATGTTATTACAGTAAGATGGTTTGTGTTTACAGGCTGCAAACAAGGTGAAGTCAGGGAAACTGTCTGTTGCAGCAATTGGTAAGTTGGCACATGTACCATATTCTGACCAACTGACATAGATGGATGTGCTGTAGCGGTTGCAGGCTTCAGACTGTAAATGCTTTAAGTAGGTAACTAAAGGAATTTGTATATAGAGAAAGGTGTTTAAATGTTCATTCTAGAATGTGTATGCAGTTCTTTGAACACAATAAAATGCCAAAACAAAAAGCAGTCTGTTAAAACCTTGAATTTTGCAGTTTAGCAAACCTTAAAATATTTAGTTTTACAGTTTTCAGCCCATTTTCCTTACTCTGTTAAAAAAAAAGATTAGCTTGTCTCTAAGGACATAATTTCAGCAATATAGTGAGTATTAAGAATTTTAGAGAATGTTTTTACCCAATGTTCAGGCACCGAAGACAACAAACGTTACATCCTTTGATGCCACCATTGCAGGTACAACCATCAAGCAAGGTCATCAAACCATCTTCCTATAACTTGATAAGGGGATAACCTTCAGACAGATGCAGTAACAGAAAAAGTTCTAGCATTACTGATGGCCTTTACCCAATTCCACTTCACTTGCCCTTTTTATAATAAAATTAGAAAAATAATTTTGCCAAGTTTATCTAAATAGAAAGCTTTTGCTACAAAGGAAAATCTGTTTCACATTCAAGGAAATAAACACAGTAAACCATCCTAAAATGAGCCAGTCTTTATTGAAATAATCATATACAACATATTCATGTTAGTAGAGCCGCAACCATTCTATGGAATACAACTTGTTAGCAAACTGAGGCTTTTTAACTGATAGCTTTCCTTCTTCAAACTGCTGCAAAAGGGGTAAGAGCCCTTTCAGCTCATTCATATGAACAATCTGTAATGAGACAATGCAAACTTTATATGATTCATTCTCTCTCCCAATTCTTGGCATCTTTCCAACCATGTTTTATCTTCTTCTTCTTTTTTATTTTTTTTTATTTTTGCTTGGTATTAATGGGAATTGAGCACAGAACCCTTTTGTAAATGCACTACTAGCTAGACCACAAGAAGTTTTACAGGAGCTTTGTAAGCACAGGTGTCTACTAATCAGAGGAACTCCATGGTAAAGAATTCTTGAGAAACTGATAGTTCCTTAGTTGACCAAGACATTTCCCTTATTTTATGGGTCCCAGAGATTTTATATTGTGTCTACAACTTTGACATTTCACATTTTCAATTTGGTATTGCCAGAAAAAAATCAGTTGGGAGCAATGAGCATGAAATAGTCAGAAATGGCTTTCAATATGTAGCCTTTGAAATGCATTATAATAATTAAAACCCTATGCTAATGGGAATAATGGAATAGCAAGTAAAGTAAAATTTACAAGCACAGCTGAATCAAACTACACACAAATAATGAAAATCAATAGCTAAAATGGTTAGTTTCCGTTTCTGAATAATTTGTACATGTAAAACCAAAAGATAGTTGTAGAAAGTAACATCACCACAATCAGTGGTTAGAAAACATTTCTGACAACCTTTACCTGGTCTATAACAAGCCCACGGATTCTGCGCAGTAATTGCAGAACTTGAGGATCCCCAGAGAGAAGATACCGCTGATAATGTGCATCCAAGAGCAGACTGGTCCACTCTACCAAATTACACAGCTTCACTTCAGATACGTCTGCCTCAAATTCTTCAGCCAAGTGGTGAAGAAGAGTAAGTGTGTGATGAAATGGGAGAGTATGTAAACTGGGCATCAAGCAGACATCACTAAATGGTGCATGAAGTACAGCATTCAACAGTTTGTGGTATGGTTCTTGTTTTTCAGTTTTTGTAAAATTTTCCAAACTGAATAGAAGTATTTGAACCAGAGACCTTTCAGGAATGTCTGTAAAGTGTTCTATGCACCAAACCAGTTCTGATATAGCTTTGGTTTCCAACAGCAGAGGTAGGAGCTTCTCTATCATCCTGCAATGACATTGCCATTTACAAGTTAATGACAACAATAGAAAATGTTTTTTGACAACAAAAGCGATCTTTTCTCTCTCGTGAAAAACTGCACAACTTTTCTTTTGGGTTAACAATATTCTGTAAATCATAAGTTAGAAATTCATGCTAAAAGATCTGCAGCACTTTTTACTGAACAGTACACCATTTCAACTGTCTTAAAATACTTTGCATATATTTTGTTGATAGGCTAAATTCTATCCCATTCTTCATAGGAATGCTCCTTCTCAGATACATTCCACAAAGCACAGTTTGTAATAGAAAAACATGAAAAGAAACTAAAAATATTTACAGACTAGTTTCCATTATTAAACTTTCTTCTATTTCTACATTACCATTTCCATTTATTAAAAGTCATTTTACAATTGTCACTTTGCACTCTTAGAACCAGATAAATTCTCTGATAAAGACATTTTAGTTTATAGGTTATGTTTTCAATAAGTATTACTTGTCACGACAGTTGACAAAATATGAAAAAAAATTATTAACCTTTTTATTCCATTATAGAAATCATTCTCTTAGGTAAGTGAAGTCTCAATTATTAAATAATTCCCTGTACCATGTAATTAGTAGATTAAAACTGAACAGTTTAATATTATGTATAAATGTACTAACATAGATTGACAACAACCATCAGCTTGCAAAGCTTCCAAGTGTTCCTTAAGTGCCTCAGGAACATGTTGATCTGACTCAGCAAAGATATCTTTCATTGTGCCATTAGCCCCCCAGTTGGAACACTGTGCCTGGTGCAGCTCCTGCACATCAGAGTCATGTTCTGGTCGTGCACTGCCACTACAGTGTGCACCAACCAGTGCACACAGTCGTTGCGCTTCAAGTTTGTATGGTACTACAACTAGGTTGTGTGCTGTTGCTATCAAGAGGTTAGTACCAGCATGCCACAAGCATGGTGGTGAAGCAAACAATTTGAAGTGGTGTCGAGACTGTACCACACCAAACTGCACATTATAGATGATAAGAGCAGCTCCTATAAAAGTGAAGTCATCACATTTAAATGTCCTTATTTCAAGGGAATTTTTAACATAATTAACTAACTACATGCAATAGATTCCTTCAAGGAATTCCCTGCCTTCTATAGAACCTGAAGATTCATTGTTGTGTTCATAACAGTATGCCACCAGTCCCTATCCTGAACCATATGAATCCAGTCCAAACCTTCCCACCCTATTTCCCTAAAATCCATTTAAGTAATACTATCCTCTCATCTATGCCTGTCTTCCAAATGGTCAGTTCCCTTCAGGCTTGACTTTTATATAACAAACTACTCTTATATTTTTCAGTAGAAAGTTGTAAATCATAACACTGAACAGAGCTCTCAAAAGTTTTTACAATAATTATGCAGTGTATGTCAGGTAAGACTGACAGCAAGAATCTGCACGAGTCTGATTAAATTTAATTTTACTTTCAAAAATATGTGATATTTAAACATAACAGTTAATGAACTTCTAGATTCTTGGAATGAGGTAAAATAATTTAACCTTTCACTTATGACCATTGTGACCCATTAGTCAGCATTGCTAGATACAGAAAAGAATTTCATTCTGAGTTCTCACCTTCTTCACTAGGGTCAGCACCATATATTGCAACATGGCTGGAGCTGAGAGAAACCAAAGCAACAGGGTGCTTCATGCTAACAGCTCTAACAGTGTTCACAAGTGTGCCAGGTAGCTTAGGGAAAGGCTGAGGGTGAAATGGCAATGAGTATAACTTTCCATCTGACCCTGGAAACAGTACACAAACATTTAATCAATGAAAAATATTTACTGTTATGTACTCAAGCTACAGCAGACATGTTTAATCTTGACTTACGCTAACTGAAATCTGTTCCATACCATGAATATGTATAAGAATGAAGGTAAAGCCATTCCATTACAACTTATGCAGGTGCACAGGGGAGAGGAGAGGTGTATAGCTCTTACTCATTCTCAACCTCAGCACTCAGCGTCATGCCCCAGCTGCACTTTACCTCCGGGAAGGGAGCCAGGTACCCATTGGACAGGAGGCTGGGTGGGTCCCAGAGCCAGTCTGGATGTAGAGGCTATAAGAAAATCATCTGCCCATGTCAGGGATTGCATAGTGATCATCCAGCCCATAGCCAATCACCAGATTGACTGAGCTACTTGGCTCATATTTATAAGAATGAGGAAAATATTTTTTTTTAATAATGATGTTTTCAGTAGTACTTGTAAAACAGTGACTGAGAAACAAATAAATAGCTGGTGCCAATTTCTGAGGGCTCAGCTGAAAATTCTTGTTTCACGCAGTATCATATACCAGATAACTCTCAGCAATAAAACAAATAAATGTTGACCTGAGAATGCCATAAACCTGACTGCTTGACACAGGGCTGTTACATGCATATGATCTCACATTTCTCAATAAACATGTGCAATGTATGCAGAAAAAACATTAATTCTTTCATTTTAGATTTCAGCTTCTGCCCAGCCTCCTATCCCCGGGGGTAAATAGGCTTGAGTGTGAAGATGATGCTTACCTCTATCTGCTGCTGAGGTTGAGAATGTGCAGAGTTATACATCCACTTTCGCATACATTTTCATGTTGTGATGCTTAATTACGCATCAGGAACAACTTCACCTTTTTGCCTTCAAGTAAGTTTTGTTATATTTGTAACGCAAATCAGATATTTCATAAAATATTAATTATGAGTTAATAAGGGTTCTGTATGATAACCATCAGCACAAAAGTAATCACAACAAGGACAATAAAGGTTAAGATCTCAGTCAACTTCAAAATGAAGTTTGATGTACGTATTGTAAATGGATAGGTATGGAGTATGCATTATGTAGCTTAGTCTGGAAGTCAAACACAAAGAAAAGTATTATTCAATACAACTTACATAATGTAAGAAAGTTACAAGAAGATTCCTGTTGCATAGTAGTCTGCCCCATTAAGCAAAAGTTTTCTCGTTCCACTTTTAGTTTTATGCATGAAATATTTCCTGTGACTGGAACCACATGGAAGTGTGTAACATCCTGTAAATAAAATATGCTCGACCATGTTACTTTATTGTGCTTTTGTTAACTGGTAAGCCAATTATTGGTAACATGAATAATGAACTGTACAGGTGTCATTGATAAAACACAAATTAGAGGAACCTCATTTACAAATAACTAATTGTTACACAGAGTTTTGTTCCACAAAAATGCAAAACAAACAAAGTAATGAAACTAAATTAAAATTGCTTTCATTTGTGAAAATCTTAGGTTTTTTCATCTAAGATTAAAATATAGAATGCCTCATGTAATGACTTCCTGAAATAAGAATCCATAAGATTTTCTTCAGAATTCTCAGCATTAAATAAGCTCTTGGCAGTTTATAGAACTGGCACTGGATTCCAAAAATTAAACATATGCAAGCCCACCACTAGAACTAATCCTGAACCATCTCAAGCCAATCAACATTACAAAACACTTTTAATCTTGGTTCTTTCATCAGGATGTAGCCCTATAAAACATGCAGAATAATTATATACATTTTAACCTTTGATTTGCTAGAAAAAAAGAATGGAAGATAAATTATTTTGAACTGAATGACATGTATTTCCTGAAGTTATTCTCTTAACTTCATCATAAATATAATTCTTATTTCTTGTGCCATTCTCAATGAACTTTCAAACTCTGCCATGTTTTTAAACAGATTCACAGTTATTGCACTGTAACTTGTTCTTGGATTTTGATCACAACACATGAATATAGCTTGTTTTATGTTTATTTCAGAACTAATGTAATTTATGGCTTTTTACTAATATGTTCTTTATACAACAAAATAGTCTAGCTAATCCTTCACAGTTTAACAAAGAAATATGTATTTGAAAGTTAATAATTATAAATTGTACAAATCAAGACATGAATTTTCATAAAGTATTTAATGTATTTAAATAACTTATAGAACATACCAAGGAATTACGAGAAAGAATTGTTAAGAATGTACAGGTTTCATTAGCCAGCAGATGGTAGTCTTCTATAATTTCATTAGTGTCAAGTAATGAACTGATATTTTCTTCCTTCCGGGTTTCTACTGCAGTGCTTAATGGATAAACTGCTCCATTAGTGAACATTATTAATGGTTCACTCCCATTTGTCTGTGGTATAACACAATGAATCTGTTGTTCGAACTGAAATAAACAAACTATAACATATACTCTTGTAATAATAGATCAATACAGGACAAGGGTCATTGAAATAATAGTGTGTTCAGTCCTCATAACATATACTCTCGTAATAATAGATCAATACAGGACAAGGATCATTGAAATAATAGTGTGTTCAGTCCTTTGTGTATGTGTGAGACTTTTTATACACAAGTAAGACAGGTAGTCAAAACATAATTACAAGCATCAACACTGTACAATGAACATATGAACTGATTTTGTATTTGATTTATTGACATTTTACTATAGTGGAATTTCTAATATCCCACCTACTGTATGAAATTAATGATTCTTACCTTAATTTTCTTTATCTTGTCCACATTTTCTTCTTGTTCTGTCCACAATCGTAACTGGTTTCGATTGAACACAGCAATATACTGATTTCCAACTGCATCATATACAACTGGAGATGAAAGTTTTTCTATACTGCTCCAGCTGCTAATTTGTTTTTGATTCAACAACTGCAATATCAGGAAAAAATATAATAATATGACAATATGGAGGGAATACCTGGGGAAGGGGACTGTAGTAAAGCTCTAACGTTAACAGTGTGTTTCCCACTATATTATTACCCTTGGGGCATTCCTTCTACTGACACCTTTGTAACAAATTTCCAGTACTCATCTAGGATGCTGAAGAACCTACCAGCAAAACTTGGTGCGAGTACTAGGCCCAACACATAATATTCTAACCTACATACCTACCACTGAATTAAGATCCTCCACACTCCCTCTCTAATTTAGTATGACTTGCTGTATGTTCAAGTTAACAAATTAATCGACAGTCTTTTCCATTCTTACGCTGAATCCGGCCATTTGCCATTCAACATTAAATCATGCAAGTGACTACAGAAACTTCAATTACGCTTCTTTCGTTTTACTTCTGCTATTCTCTACTAACTAGGGCGGATTCACAAAATATGTGGTGTCTTTACATTAGTTTCTTGTTGGTATTACTCTAGCAAATATGGACCATGCAGTCATTCCCCACATTTAAAAAGAAAACCTAACCTTATATCTGATAATATTCTTTCCGAGAGTTACAATTACACAGTCACTTGTAGAATCTTCGGCTATGCCTAATAAACTTCTATGGTCAATCAACGGGAATAAACTATAATATGCACATAATCTCGCCATTATTTTTAAGCATCTGCATTATATCCACTTCACATTTCTACCCACACCACACTTTTCGGAATACAGTAGTGCATACATTAGAATCTGAAGATGGGAAGTTGGTATTATGTGTGTATGGACGTCGCCAACTTATAGAATATTTTTATACCGATTTTCCAAGTTGGTATTGTATACCTTGTGTTCGTGTCTAGTATAGTCTTGTCTGCTGTGAATTTTTTGATAATAGAAGGCGTGATGGAGATTTATTGGTTTTGAAACTCTGTTCGTTCGAGTTTTGTGGTATTAAGTTTACCTTCAAAATGGTGTCTGTTATGCACCCTTTCATGGTAAATACAATTGTAACTGACAGATTCGGCAAAATTAATACATCTCTAACTCTTTTTCTAGATGCAGTTTAGCCGCATGACGTGTTGGCTAGGGGCTGTCGATCAGTGTGTGAGATTCAGCTAACAATATATATTTAAGTGTTGCAAATGCAATATCTATACTTTGTATCACCCAGTCTCTTTCAGTGCCCCTTTATTAACAGTCATTGAATTATAATAACAAGAGCCCACCGATTTTAGTTTGAGACCTTCACTGAAGTGTCAACATTTGATAATGTATAACGTTTTTAGTCACATTTAAAATGGTTCTTTTGTTCGTAAGTTTTGTAGTCTTTGTCAGATGTAGGGCAAAATCAAATAGTGAACATCTCAGTAAGTGTGATTTTGTAACAGGGAACTGATGGCAAAATGAAAATTAGGATGTGAATGTGAAATATGTCAATGCATCTGTTTCTAGAATAGTGCTATATATGGACTACATCTTTGCAGAGAGCAGTTTTAGTTGCTTGTTGATAATTTTTCAGGATGTGGAGTGTTCACGTTCATATGTTGATGAACTCTATTCCTCAGAAGAAGATAAATGCTTGGAAGCTATTGTGTAAGTTAAATAGTTACCTTTTTTGACAGTTATAAAACCTGTAATTAATAATCATGGTAAAAATTCATTAAGTTATTTTATCACTTATACTGAATCCTGATTTTACTAACATACATCTATACTAGTTATATTTTTTTGTATTTAGTATGCTGCTTGTCTAGATGTAATTCTTTAATGTATGTATTTTATGCTTTTATACTTGAGTTTGTGACGTGTTCTATATCCACTATTGGATTTCTGGAACTTGTAAATAAATAAAATAAAAAATAAAATAAAGTTATCTGACATTCTACATATTAACTTTTAAAGTTTTATAACAACAATGATACCTTGATTCTCTTCATGATGGTAGCAACTAGATCAAGGATTGTCATGTACTTAGTGGATCCATATCCCCACTTCAAAACCTTCCACACACTTCTCCATCTCCTGTGGGATAAAACACGTCTAGATTAATGGCAATGAATGATTCTACTGTGTACATAGGACATACATATCTTGACATACATGAGCAGCTCCAGTCAGGCTGCCATAACATGGACATTTTAATTTATGTCCCAGAACTGTTTGAAGGTTTCATGTGCTGGTATCATCTGATTGATTAATGCCTCTGATATGTAAATTGTAATGGTATGTATATTCCAGGTGCCTAAAAAATTCTGTTATTGGCAGCAATCGTCAGAAAGGCCATGTAATTGCGCAAGGCGTTGTACCAAGGTTACTGCAGCTTGTTGGGGATAACATGATGCCAACGCAGATCAAGGTCGAAGCAACAATTACTCTTGGTTCTCTAGCCAAGGGAACAGAGGACCATATTAAGGCTTTAGTAGATCTGGGTGTTGTACCAGTGCTAATAAATGGTAAATTTTATGTTATTTACATAATGAAGTTTAACTGCATTTGTATTTACTGTACTGTAGTTGCTAGTCAAAGGATTGCTGATAAACACTGATGGAACGTAGCTGCTGTATGGCTTAGGTATGAATCCTGTATGTAAGTGTTATTTGTCCTGTTAAATACATATTTCATCCATTTACATAAACATGAAGTTCAAAAAAACATACAGTACCTTTCTTTCTTTAAATGCATCCATCCATATTATAATCTTTGTGGTATAACCTTGTGCAAAATTTTAACTAGAATATACATTCTTAAGCCAAAAGTTGTCAGACTTAATGTCAGAGTTTGTATAGAGAGGCAGATGTACATGCATGCAATATTCTAAAGTGAATACTTATTGCTTTGTGCCTGACATTTGTTTTTCATACAGCTGTATGTTGTAAATTGTTTATATGCAGGAAATAAAAAGAGATTCATATTGTAAGGTTTTTGTTGATTGTTTTTATTTTATTTAAATGAACATGAAAATAATTCTTAAGAGAATTTGAGTGAACATAAATGGATAAATAACAATGCCTGAAATACACTGATTGTGTAAATGTTAAAATTTCTGCATACCTTGTTCTGTTGTCATTTTACATGGACGTTGTGTCAGGTTTGGCCAGTGAAGAAGCAAGGTTGATTGAAGCATGTCTGAGGTGTTTACGGACCATCTTTGAATTCCCATGTGCACCCGTTGGACTAGTTTGTCAGGACGAGAATCTACCATTACATCTCCTAAGTCTCATCCCGCACTCTGTATCCAACCAAGTGTGCATTGCCACCATTCTTACCGCAGGATGCAAGGTAAGGAACTTCATGTGAATTGCCATAGGTTTATGATTGTGGTGTGGGAAAAAAATAAAGCTGTCCCCAAGACATGGGGGAAGTAGAGGAGGTAGGTATAGTTCCCACTTGTGCTTAACTTGTTCTTGGCACTAGATGGTAATGAGTAGTCAGTGTCATACCCAAAATAAAAGTCAAATGTGTTGTATAGATGTGTGTTGAAACATGGAAATGTGGAAGAAATGTGTACCTAACCCAGTTTTAAAGATTGGGATTCATTTTTTTTGCAGTGGTTTATCACTTGTTTAATGTACACAAAATACCTTGGTGACTATACTGATAATGAAATGCAAATAAATACAAGGATATACCTGAGTATTAATTTTCTGACTTTATTTGTAGAATTTTAAGTAAAGACCATAAATATGTATATTAAAACTCTTTCTTTTAAATTCTTTATTGTTTGCTGCATTTAAAATGTGAAGTCAGTATGATAAAAAGTTTGATGGTGAGTAAAGAAGTAAGGTAATTTTATTATAAGTTTTGATAAAATAATGACATAGTAGTAGAACATGTCTTGTTTTTCTGTATATTTATCTTGTTTTTCAATCATTTGCTTCGTTGATTCACTTATTCCATCAAGAGTTAAATGGTGTTAGCTGGGTCTTAAGCCGTTCTTGCCCCACTTTCCACGACTTGCTAGTTCTATCTGTTATCGGTCTTTGGTTGTTTGAGATGCACTAATTGCGAGCTCTTTACCTTCAATACATTACAATTGACAGGCACCCAGAATATACATTATTGATATTTGTCCACTGTCTTTTAATTTTTTCTACCTGTTCATGAACTTTCCTCTGTGCCATATTAAACTGTCAGTCATTCACAAGTCTGATCACAAAATTGTATCACAGACCATTGTTCTACTATTCTGTGAATTCTGTTTATAGAGCAGCTGTGTTAAATATGTCACAGTATTGTTACCCAAGAAATGAGAACAACTATATACACTTGAAGGAGGTTTTGTGTGTGTATTTGCACTTTTTAAACTTATTAGCAATTGAGTCGACTCGTGTAACTCAGTATTTGTAACATGATATCACCATTTTTCTTTCAGACCTTAGATAACCAGAACTTACTCTGTGGACAGGGAGCTGTTCCTGCATTGGCTGCTTTGCTTTGTTCTCCACATTACAAAGTTCAGATGCCAAGCCTCCGCTGCCTAGCCAACATGTGCTTCCAAAACCAGAAGGTGTCGGCAATTGTTGCAACTTCCAGGTGCGCATTTGCTCTGCATTCTGTATATATTAGTAGAATATTGGTGTATGTGGAACGTGTTAGCTAAATTGTAAATTGAGGTTGCTATTGGTGTTGATTAAAAATATTTAGAGAAAAAATTATGTCATTACATATAATATATTCGTGTGTGAACTCATATATTGCACAGAAGTCCAAAAATTAAAGTAATAATATTCCAGTGTAAGTCTAACAAATTAAGAATTTGAAATTGATTGATACTTCCAGAAATTCCTTCCCTCCTCCCTTCTTATTGGAGCGTATAGTTGTATTTTTGGCCACTGTACACAGAATGGCTCTTCGTCCATCTATCCTCCTATTCTGCTAGTACCAGATAGTCTCTGTTGATAAAGTGGCTGGGGCATCAAGATGATCACTCAACTCCAACTTATGCTGACATTTTGAATTTGCTTAGTTAAGCGCAGTGATTTGTGTTCATGGGATAGTGCATAGTTGAACAGAGTGACAGTCTTACCTTCACTTAAAGAGCAGATGTTGATTGATTTTCTGCTTGAAACCAGGATACTTTCAATTGAAAATATTCATAAATGTAACTGTTATTAATTACCTTGTGTTTACTTTGTTGGTATAATATGCTTCTTGTAGCTTTGGAGGAAAGTCTGTCCCTGATTTGTTGGTGGGACTAATGGCAAGGGACAAGCCAAGTGAAATGCAGATGGCAGCAGCAAGGTGTATTACCTATATGCACCGAGCTGTTGCAATTAGTGCTGAGGATCCAAAGATTTTGTATCGGACACTTCCATGCCTGGTGAGTTTTCAGATGACTTCATTGCATAATGAGTGAGAAACAAACATGAACATATAGGAGATGTAGCTTATAATATGTTTCCAAGTGTAGTATAGTAGCTTGTAACAAAATTTCAGAATTTTCTGTGTATTCATTGCAGTTTACAAACATAATGACTCATTTGTTGTCACACTGCACAATTTAGAGATATATTTTGTTCTTGTATTTTTTATAGTTGCTATATTAAAATAGGTTGTAATAAATGTTTATGATATTTTATAGATATTGTATTATGCCACGTCTACATTTTTATGTGATGAGCTATTATTAAGGAAATTGTTAAGGTGTTTGATTTGTACCCAAAATTCATAATAGTTGGATTTGTTTTCTAGGTTCGTCTTTGTAAGAAAGATCGGCCTTGTGAAGAAAGGGTGACTGCAGCAGAGACGTTAGCATATCTAACAGAAGTTGACACTGAACTGCAACGTCTTGCATCCATTTCAAATCATCTGGTCCCTACTCTTTCCGAGTTGCTGCGATACCAGCCAGAGCCATCACACACACAGTCTATGCAGCTGACTCCCAGTCAGACAGCACAGAGATTGGAGCAGGAGGTGAAGATAGCGCAGGACATGAAGCAAGCAGCTTTCAGAGTAAATGTTGCTATTTAATTATACTGTAACAAATGTAATGCTTTTACTGATTCATCGATCTCATTGGAGCAAATTCACGTTAACGAAACATACGTAATTGCAGAGATGACTGTATTTATAATTTTTATTCAAAATCAGCAATGTAAGAATTATGATGTAGTATAAGAATCAGTACGAGATACAATGTAAAACGTTATAAATAATAGTAAAATATATTTTTTTCACTTTTTGACTTGCTGGTTTCAAAATCAGCGTTATTCTGAATCTGCGCAAATTGAACCGGCATAAATCGAGGGCTACCTGTATTGAGATTCCATGTAATATTCATCTGAAATTCATTGTTGTTGTTATAGGAAATATTGATGGAGCTGAAAGTATATTGTATGGTGTTTACAGGCCTTTGCATCATTGGGAGCTAATGATGAAGATATACGCAAGAAAATAATTGAAACAGATAACCTGATGGACCATATTGTTAGTGGGCTTCAGGACCCAAGCCCACGAGTTCAGCTCGCTGCTGTTCGATGTCTCCATTCACTTTCTCGATCTGTTCAGCAGCTTCGAACCACCTTCCAGGTAGCTGTCATGACAGGAACCAGAGCAGAGTTTTCTATTTCATTTCACATGTACATTGTGAGTTTTATATTTTTGTCTTTGTAGGATCATTCAGTGTGGCGACCACTGATGCAGCTTCTACAGGGGGCTTCTGATGATATCTTGACAGTTGCTTCCTCTACACTCTGCAATTTATTGCTTGAATTCTCCCCCAGTAAAGAACCTATTCTTGAGTCAGGTGCCGTGGACTTGCTCTGTGGACTTACAAGACGTCAGGATCCAGCATTACGACTTAATGGGATATGGGCTCTTATGGTAATGTGACCTTATATGATGGTATAATAGTTACTGCTGTTTCTTTGTGTCTGGTAAGTTTGCAATTCAATTTGCCAAATCTTACCCATTTATTTGTCAAATGCTGACTTGTTTTTTCCTGTATCAACATTTAATGGTTTTGGCTGCTTTAGTGGTGATTTTAAAGAAGAATGGGGAAATTGCATAATGAGGAGCTCCATAATGTGTTTTCTTTACAAAATATTATTAGGATGGTGAAATGGGCGGGGTGGGGGATGTAGTGGGCATGAGAGAATAAAAATGTCAGCAACATTTTGGTTTGAAACCCTAAAGGGAATTAACTATTTGGAAGATCTGAGCATAGATGGGAGGATATTAAAATTTGTATTAGGGTAATAAGTTGAGAGAGTGTGGAATGGATTGCTCTGGCTCAGGGCAGGGATGAGTTTCAGGCACTTGTGAACATGGTAATGAACATTCTGGTTCCTTAAAAAGCAGAGAATTCCTTGACTAGCTGAACTTACTATCAGTTTCTGTAGGACTCTACTTCTTGCAATTAATTAATTAATTAGTGATGACTTTTTTAAATAACTGGAATTTGTATATTATACAATTACATATACAAATAGCCCTATCATAAAAATTATTCAGAATTGGAGAACAAATTTGAATTTAAGTACATGCAAGTTTTACATCATCAGTATTACAGTTTGTTTCTCATTCAGATGACATTATGGGCTGCCTGGATGGGGTTGTGTTTCTCATTAAGGTGACATTATGGGCTGCCTGGATGGGGTTCAAGTCCTTGGATTTTTCTTTAAACCACCACAATGTCCACAGTGGTATTGGGATTCACCTCCCTTGTGATAGGTTCCAAGGACCGTGCTCTTAGGGATGAAGACACGAGACTGTAAACGTAATTGTTTACATCCATCTGGTTCCAAACTGTGGAATGTTTGGAGCACCCATTCTATACCTTAATGCAGTAGTGCGTAGGTCCGTGGACAGCTTTACTGTTCACTTTTATGTAGACCAGATTGTGTTCAGTGATGTGATTTTCCTGTCTTATGCATAGAATATGAATTTCAGAGAACTGTGTTTCCCTTCTTCCAGTTTACAAGAACTGAAATAGCTGTAACCTTAACCAGTTTAAGTTTTCTGCGTAAAATCATTGTTTTTCTTCTCCCCAGAACATGGCATTCCAGGCTGAACAGAAGATTAAGTCCCAAATCCTTCATGCATTAGGCACAGATCAGATTTTTCGATTATTGTCTGATCCAGAAGTAGTTCTTATGAAGACGCTGGGGTTGTTACGAAACTTATTGTCAACAAAACCTCATATAGACCACATTATGGGTCTTCATGGTAATCAGATTATGCAGGTATGTGTTTCTTGTGTGTTATTTTGATGCTGTAAAGTTTGAGTGACTGGCACATTTACCAAACTTCAAGAAGGATTTATTCTGGGTAACAAAAATGTACATGCAGAAGCCAGTTTATACAAATTGAATACTTTAGATATTAATGTTGTTTCATTACATGTGCAGGTAGGTAGATTGTACGATGAGTGGAGAATTTTGTAGTAAAAGGATATTACAATCATGGAAAGAAATTCATATTGAGTACAGCTCCTTTCAAATTTCTGTGTGTCATGTATCCTGATAATTTTATTTTATATTGAAGTCTTCACCTAAGAGTGGCCATATCAAGGATGATTATTGAATAGGATACATGTCACAGCTGGGGAAAGAAGAAATGGGTTAAACATTTTGTCAAGAAACCAAATTTAAAAAGACCACTTGCAAGACAGGATAAAACTCAGAATATATAAAGAACTTTTGAGAAAACAGATTGATGTTGCAAAGTGGGGTTTTAAGGTTGAATAAGAGGGTTTTTATGGTTATAAATTTGAGTCTTTAGGTACTATACAGAAATTGTATTTGTTGTATCTGATTCCAGAGACAGCTGTGCCTTGCTCTGCAAATATGAATATGACTCTGAAATTATTTACACAGTAATAAACAGTGATTGAATTTTTGCAACAACATTGTTGCTATTACAGAACAGCTTGTGTGTGCTGTATCATCAAAGAAAATGTATGACCGGTGTCTGTAATTGATTTCCACATGTTTAATTAAAAAGCAATTTATTTTATGCTTAGCTTAGCTTAGTGTGCTTCACAGCATACTATGGCTTGCATTTCTGCATGAAGGTTTACAAAATTTTGTCAGGGAGACCTTATGGTGTGCAGCTACTGGGAAGACTGAGAGAAAGACTAATTTTGAAATGGATTGTGAGGATGTGAAGTGGCTCAGGATTGCATCAGAGTGTGAGCTGTGTTATCAGAAGCTTCAGTTGTGCTGGTAACTGTTGATGTTATAGGCTGTGGTGCTAATATTAGAAGGAACCCATAGTGCAGAAGTCAAGGAGCAGGCTTTATGCATTCTGGCTAATATTGGTGATGGAGAATTAGCTAAGGAATACATAATGGCCAATGAAGATGTTCTGAAGAAACTTACTGATTACATGGTAAGTTCCGTTACTACTATTTTCATATCCTGCCTGATCTTTGTAAGCATGTGTAACTTATGTTCACATAAACTCTGAATGTAATGCCCTGTCTTGGTTCTCCAGGTGTAATAATCATTACAAAAAAAAACTGAATGTACCTTTCACTAAATGCATACAGAGAAAGAAGGGTAGGCTTTGTGTTTTTCCAACTCTTTGATACCTGTAACACAGCAGTTTTGTTATAAGTCATGACTCAATGAAATTAATTTGATTTGTAGAGACTGCAGTGACACACCAAACAAAATATGGACTGAAAAGGGTTTAATTAGCTAGTCTTATAGCGCTGGGATGCAGTGAATTGTTTTTTAGTAAAATAATGTTGTGTCCACAGATGCACTCCAATGTGAAATTACAGATTGCAGCTATCTTTTGCATTTCAAATTTGGTATGGCGTGAAGAAGCAGGATCAAGTGAGCGCCAGGCGCGACTGCGAGACCTTGGTGTGTACAAATTACTTCAGCAGCTCATCATGACATCTGACACACTTCTCTTTGACAAGTATGTATGTTTCAATTCAGAAAATAGCAAGCAGATGTATGTATTATATTTCCAAACCATAGTGTGATCTATAAGGATGATCAGTGCACATCAGGCAATTGGAGATCATTGTAGATGAGACAAAAACTTAGATGAGAGACTACAGTACAGAAGGTCTGTAGTTCAAAATCTATAGGATCCATAAATGAGCCCCATGGCCTTTGCTATTAAATGATCTGAGGGAACCCAGAACATGAAGTTTAACATATGAGGAAATGGTAGTTGGAAAGGTACAAGATACTAGCTTTTTTCCATTTCTTTTCATGTTTGCTTGCTGTTTAATATTTGTTTCCTTTTTGCAGGGTGAAAACAGCGATGACCCAGTTTTCAGATGCATGATGGACGTTGTGATAACTGCTGTCCTACAAAGTTTGCATTGACTGGTCTTTGTGTACTGCTATGTAGTTCAAGGTCGTGAAACCTAATGTTTTGTGAGATGCTTTGTTCTTTCATTTCAGTATAAAGATTTTGTGTGTAGTAGTGGCGTAAACATGATACTAAAGCTAAGATGATTAAGCTTAGCTGAATGTATATGTTTTTTCACATCAAAATTCTTTGAAGGACCATTACTTACCATATTTTAACATCATGTATTAAATTTGATTGGTGATACTTAAAAGACCATATACATTGATTAAATGTATTTGGGTAACTGTTTCTTAGGTAATTTAAGAATACTGCATGGGTAAAGGATAGAAATTTCAACTGATTACCAGAAACATGTCAAACATACAGTGTTATTAGTACACCTCTGTGCTCATTTTGCTTTTTAGTGGGTGCATGAGGGTAATGGCGATGAATGTACAGCTTACAGATAGCCTGTTGTTCTATGTGTTGTTTTCACAAGAACCTACCATTTTACTTTATCCTGCACATGATGAATTCAATCCAAATTTAATTCACCATTCAATATGGTAATTGGTCAATTTGTGATAATGGATGTGTGTGTAACAATAGTAGGTAGGTGTGCTTTGGTAATGGTATGTTTTTATTGCTCTTTAATGTTTGGTCATGCCATACTTCTACACTTATGCAGTACATTATACCATACCATTGTACAAATAATCCTGAATATATTATAAACAGGCAATAATGAGAAAATACAGATTTAAAATAATTTAGCAAATACATATTTGAACATGTTATGTTGTTTAAAAAGGCAGAAAAAGAAGTAGCACAGCTATATAAACATATTATTGTAGCTGGTAATATGGCAGTACTCTTAAGCAAAGTGAAGATCATTAGAATGTATTCTTTGATTAATTTTTAGCAGTTTCAATAGTCTGTAACAAAAGTGATGTATGAGGAATGTTTTGCAATCTTGATAAGGCTTTTTGACTGTGTTAATCATAGCATATAGTGACTAAACTAGCTTATGTGGAATATGTGTAAACACTAATGAACAGCACATATCTTACAAAAATAAAACAAAGGGTTACAAATAAATCTACACATACAAAATAGTGTTTGTTGTAAGTGGAATAAAGTTCAACATCACGTTCTATGAGGCTTTTTATTTTGCCCACCTTGTTTACTGTCGAATATGTACGTGTTCTGTTTGGATATGGTACTAATATAATAATCTTGTGGCATTGCCAAACCCTACCTTTACAGCTATGAGTAAACTATTCATAGCTAGTAAGTTTACTTTAGTGTAATGAAACAAATTTAATAATATATGTAAATAAATAAAAATTATCCAATAGGCTGTATTGATCAGTCTATGCAAGCAGGCACAATGAACTTCCTGCAAACAAACTGATATTGCCTAAACTGGAAAAGCTGTTTAGAATTTGTAATTGTATTGTGTAAGAATATGTAAATAAATACAAACATACTGAATTGAGTTATTCATTATAACTATAAACCATGGGTACTTTAAATTATGTTTTTTTCATCATTGGAATATTATAATGCTATTGCTGTCATTTGTATACATTTTGTCCAATAAAACTCAGAATGGAAACTATCAAGTGGTGTTGTTAATAATAAAACATAGTAAAGGTAATGGCACACCATGACATTAGATGGAGGTAAGAAATTTAGCTTTATGCCCTCCCCCAAACCCTGCAAGATAAGAACTTTGTGCCCTTCAGACAGGAAGCTGTGTGGGCCTCAAGGCTGGTCTGGAAGTTGAGAAAAATTCTACCCTGCTGAAAATTAACCCTGGTCATCCAATTTGTGGCGTTGTCCATACGTATAATGACAATGCTGCCCCCTCATAACACCAACATCTGGAAGACAGATCACAAATGCAAATGTAGTTTCTGTGTATTTGATTTGCATGTAGCAGCATTGGTCATAGTCATAAGCTATGATTATAGCCGATGTCAATCACTGAACACTGAACATTATGTGGAACAACTGTGAACAAGAGAACGCATGTTTTCCAACTTCATTTCTTATAAAAAAATTGTTAGATGTGTTCACTATAGAATTTAAACAATTTATATATTAAGCTGCCTCAGGTTTACAGTTGCGGTATAACACAATATATTTTCTATTTGCAAAGAATAAATCCGCATTGTGCTCATTTCAACCTGTTTTTGACGCGTTCAGCGTGTTTGTACTTCTCGAACGCGGTTGACTAGGAAACGTAAGAAATGAAGCAGTGTGGCCTCCGTACTTGGCATTGCTTTGGTGCAAGTCTCGCAGTTTAGGTATTGTAAACGAGACGCCGTGTATGATAATGCCGCTGCCAATGCAGGGGAAGCAGGTTCTTTTTCAAGTAAGTTTAGGTAATATGATGGTGCAAACACAACAACTCATTTTTTGGACTCACGGGCGTCCTATAAGTACTATGGCTTCTTTTTCATATAGGCATATTGAATCATGATAGATAATGTATCAAGTAGTTTATACTTAGACCCATGAGTTTGGTTCTTGGATGTGTATTTTTATTCGGAATGGAGAAAATTAAAACATGAAATTGTCATGATATTTATGTGTCTTTGCAAAAATGTTTTACTTCTATTCAGTTGCGTAATATAACATTTAAATTTTGAAGTACTTGGCTTACGGCCTGCTGTCTTTAAAATGTCAGACTTTTGTATCAAAACATTGCCATTTTAACATACTTTTTATGTCTTATTTAAAATAAAATCATTGCTTCAGCAAGTGGATACATTCATTTTTCCCTGTTTTTATAGAGTGCCGTGGAGCCAATGCAAGTAGATGCTCCACCAGAAGATAATGACAACAATGAAGAAGAACCATATATTGTTGAAAATCCTAGTTTGGTAAGTGCTGTTTCAAATGTCTTGTTAAATTTGGTTGTGAAGAGGAAAGGTATATTGTCGAAGACACTAGTTTTGAAAATATTCTGTAGTTTTGAAAATAATTTATTACATTTTGCTGACATGGCAGTTACATTTTTTCAGACTTCCTTTGGTTGGTTGATGTGGATAATGAGGAAGAGATGTTGCTTATTAAATATAACAGGTGACCAGATTGTCTTTCAGTACTTGCACAGTCTGGTGAATGCTGTAACAGCACATGAACCATATTTTTAACAGTTTTTATTTCATAGAATAACTATAATCCATGTATAAATTAATATTGAGGTATTATAGAAGATGTAGTTTTGTTATGGCCATGAACATGTCATTTGTCCATGTTGTACATGTTGCCAGGTTAGCTCAGCACCATCTAAACTGACTTGTATTCTGTTCAGGCTTTTTATTATTTCCTCAGTGTTTCTAGGACAGTATCTCCTTGCTATGATAACTTATTTCCTTTGGCACTTCCATTTGCCATTTTAGTTGGGACCCCTAAAATTACAAGAATCTTCTCGTAATGAAACTACTGATAATTGTTATATAGAGTATGCTTTCACTAATAATTTGCCTTGTATACAACATTATGTTTTCATATGTGAAGCATTTTAATAAAGGCATATGCAGCATGTTTTTAAGTGTGAATTTC